AAAGAAATTTTAAAGTAAAATTAAGTGGTGAGACTATAAAAGTAAGTGAGTCAGTGAAAAACTTGGGCGTAACTTTAGATGAATGTCAAAATTTTATACCACATGTAAATAATATCAGTAACAGTTGTTTTTCAATTTTACGTCAATTATATCTTTAATTATTTTTTACAATGCTCCACCTCGATCCACAAAATTGCTATCATATGATCAATTTAAAAGACATATGAAGAAATTTATTTTGAATAGAAGTACATATATAAATTAGTTGATAAAATTTATCTGTCACCCCACACAAAAATATTTCCAATATAGCATTCCTTTGTTTTGAATGACTGTTACAATTTTATACTTTTAAATCATGAAATATTGAATAGGCTTCACTTATATATGTTATATACCATATTTTTTATACACCTACATTTGTAATCTTCTAACTTATCAAATGTATCTTTGTTTTTTGTATTGTTTTTTTCAGTTTTTCTTTTTTTTGGGGGTTAAGTGGCAGAGTAGCATTATGCTAAACTTCGCCCCTAAATAAAGACGATTTATTATTATTATACTGATTCTTTTGCCCTACAAGATTATATTATACTTTGGCCTCCTAGGAGAAACTTTACAAGAGCTTCTGTTAAAAGTATGGACATACCAACGTCAAAAAATTGAGATAGACTCTCCCCTACTCCCAATAACCCACAACTAACAATTTAGGGTTAGCAGATAGATAGACAAGACAGAGAAACTGATAGACAGACGGAAATGAGTGACATGGTTTTTCGAGAAAATAAAAAGTTTGCCTCTTTCTAGCTGAACAAGCATAGCTAAAAATTGCTTTAAAATAAACTAAGATTTGAGTACTATTCGGAGTTCTGTAGGTTAAGGTTTGGGCTTTAATTTAAATACTTGGTAACCTCAAAAATAATGATTAGTAACCATTTAACAATTTTTAGTGTCTTTCTAATATTAGATCGCTAATAGATCGTTAATGTTAGAAAAAAAGTTACTAGGGTTATTTCTTGGTCAGTGTGTACGGAACTAAGAAACCAGTTTTTTGTAATTTTTTCCTACCTGGGTGTATAATGAAATATGAGAAGATACCAAGGCAAGAGTCTCGCACATCTCTAGAGGTAGCCATGATAACTGATTTGAAACTTAATGTTTTTGAGATCCAGCTCAAGCCTTACTTTACAAGACTCAGAGGGGTATTTTACTTAATTTTAAAACAATTTTTATCCTTACTTGGTAGGCGAAATTTTGATTTTTGCAGATTGTACATACCTCACATAACATCTAAAAAACATATCTCATTTTCGAAATTTTTCGCGATTACCTCTATACCTGTGACGTGGAACGTAACAAGTAAAGTCAACTTTTCTGAGTGAGTAGACTTAATATGACGTCAACTTAATGCTTCTTAATCTGAATTGTTCATAATACGTATATTTTTATCAACAGTAATAGTTTAACATCAAACTTGCATGAAATGGCACGGAAATACATATTTCACAACAAGGTACCAATAAAAAGTAATTATATTGTAGTCACCATTAAGCCGAGGTCAACCCGGGTAATTACAATTATTTATTCAGACAGATATTCGCTCGTGATTTTTTTATGCACAGGAAGCTTAGTTCAATCACGACACGTGTTGGAAGAAAAAAAACGTCGAACATGTCAAAAAATGAGAACTAAGTATTTACGTCTTGAGTACTACAATTAATTAACGTATTCTATCTGAAGATAACCAATCTGAGACAAAATGAGATACCGTATGAGAATTCGTCACAGCCGTTTTTCTATTTACCATATACCGGGTGTTCCAAATTCGCCGGTCACCATTGGGATCTCAGAAATGCTACGAGGTCGGTTAAATGAGGGCAAAGGAATAGACAAGTAACCGAATTTTCCCAAAATCGCTTTTATATTTTCTTGACTTTATTCTTAGAGATGAGATTCCAAAATAAAAAGTACATTAACTTTGCCACATATTCTCCTCTGCAAAATGGCTTAATTATGTTTTTGTTATAGACGCCATATTGGGCTTTGGCACAGTTAGGTAGAGTTTCTAATTCTGATTCCAAAAATCTTGAATATGCGTACATTCCTACATTGACATTGTCAAACCTAAACTATTTAGAAAAAACTATTATCTTCATAGTTGGATTTCAAAGTGACAGTTTGTGACATGTTTATCCGATTAAATTACTAATGCTTCAATTTATAAGAAACGTGGACAATCAGATCATTTGTCCTTTTATCGACTATAACAAGCGTTATTTTATCACGATGTTGGCGCCCTACATGACAACTCGTAGATTAATAGTATTTGAATGCTAGATGTGTACATCGGTTTAGATATGACGGATATGAAATGTGTTTAGGAAGTTGAAACATAGTCGAGGCTCTTACTTATTCCAAAATGTTTCTATGAGTGATATAAAATATACTAAGTGACATATAAATCCGAACACCCAGTTTAAATGGTTTTATTTTAATAAAAGTTGGTGAATGTATTTATCTTACTGTAAATAACAAGTGAAAAAATTTTCAGCCTTATCAGTTGGACATTCCGGTTTTTATACTGCTTTTTTTTTAATTCACTAACGCTCTAAAAATGAATATTTCAGCCGCAGTAAAGAATCAACGTTGGCAGATTTTGGTTCTTGACATCCTTTACGATCGGTTACGATGCCTAGAGTACGGAGACCTGTACGATTTCGTCAACTTAGTGAGTTGGATAGGGGCCGTATAGTGAGACTTCGCGAAGCTGGACTTTCTTTTCGGGCAATTGCAGTTAGAGTGCAAAGAAGTGTAGACATTGTGGTTAGGTGTTGTCAGGCATGGCTTCGAGAAGGCCGTACGCAAAGAGCAAGGGGCACTGGACGCCGCCGTAGAACAACAGACCGTGAAGATCGCCGCCTAAGATTATTGGCCTTAAGGGACCGTTTCTCCACTACCAGGTCCATTGCAAATGAATAGCTTGCAGAACACGGAAGACCTATTGGCATGCGAAGTGTTTACCGACGAATGAGAAGTTTTGTCTTGTTTTCATACCGGCCACACTGGGTCCTCCCTTTAACTCGAGAACACCGACGTAATCGCCTTGAGTGGTGCAGACAACGGTCACTCTGGGATCAGGAATGGAACAGTATTGTCTTTAGTGACAGTCTCGATTTTGTTTAGGCATGCACGGTGGTCGTGCCAGGGTTAGAAGGCGACGTGGTGAAAGGAGGAATCCACAGATTTTTGTTGAAAGACATGTTCATCACACTGTTGGAGTTATGGTTTGGGGTGCTATAGCTTATGGTTCCAGGTCACCTTTAATCTTTTACCCTATCTTGACACCCTGGCAGATCCAACTTTCCAACAAGATAATGCCCGACCACATGTTGCAAGAGTCATAATAGACTTCTTTCAACGTAATGATGTCACATTGTTACCATGGCCACCAAGATCTCCCGACTTATCCCCAATTGAGCACGTGTGGGATATAATGGGTAGGAGATTGCTCAATTTGCAACGTCCTCCTCAGACTCTAGAAGCACTTCGAGAGGAGTTGGTGGTTGCCTGGAATGAGATACCACAGGAGGACATTGACCACCTGATCAGAAGCATGCCTAGGCGCGTTGGAGAATGCGTAGCACATCAGGGTGCATCCACACATTATTAAAGGTCAAAGGGCTTTAAAGCAGTGCAATCATTTTGAAATTTTTATCATTTACTTATTATGCTTCATTAAGTACTTATACAAAATTTTATTAAAATAAAACCATTTAAACTGGGTGTTCGGATTTATATGTCACTTAGTATAATACTGCTACAGTTTTCAATACTACCAATAAATAATATGGAAAAGCTTTGGCAATAAGTTGTTCTTTATTCGGTAAGACCAACTAAAGGAAGAATACTTTTTTTATGTATTCGAAGTTTTATAATACCAGTACATGTCATGATACGTAAAATATCATATCGCTAGAATCGTTCACTCATGTCTAGTTAATAAAAACGTTATGAAACAATGACTGATATTTTCAAGGCCTACTTAGAAAATTCTGTTTTTATATGACTAAGGTTTGGCAACGTCAATATATATGACATATTATATATTTTTGGAATTACTGTTAAAAAGTCTACGCACCTCTGTAAAAACCCAATATGGCGTCTATAAGAAAAAATGAAGTTGATGATTGGAGAGAAAAGACGAAAAGTGCTAAGATAATGTCAATGTACTTTTTATTTTGAAATCCCATCTCAAATAAAGTCTGGAAACCATAAAACCATGATTATAGGCATTCTGGTCATATCAAGGTCAAAATCTGAGATTGCCCGGAAATCAAGTCTAATAGACCTGTACGTAGATTTAGGGATCCACTGACTGTAAATCTGAATTCAGTATGTCCGTGTCAGGGCACTTGAATGACACTTCAAGGTCATTTCAAGCTCATTTCAAAATCAAATTAAGAAAATTCCGGGAAACCAAGACTTCCATGTAGGTTTTTGGGGTTACTGAAATTGAATCTGACGTTAGTTTGTCCGTATCAGGTCATTTGAAGGGCGTTTTGAGGTCATCTCAAGGTCATGTCAAGCTCAAATTTAGAAAATGCGGGGAAATCAGGGAGGCTAATACGTATCATATGTGTTCGAATCGTTTAGTTATTTAATTTAATAGTGTAGGAAAGTTGGTATATGTACGTAATTTTAGGAACTAAATCAGAATGTGACCGTCAAAAAATTGTGAACCAACATGATGCCGAATTTGAGGTAGAGATTAGGTTGCTTGTTACTCCTGCTAGCACTATGAGCATAAAGCAGAAAATTAATATCGAATTCGGAGTCTATACAACCGGCTTACCCAAGAATCAAATATCTGCCCAGATTACGAAAATGTTCTCCTTATGTTTGGTTGACTCCACTCCGGTGAACGCTTATCGATATCGGAAACGACCATAGTACAACATACAAACACGCATCTATGTTTTTTTTCATCGCATTCAAAAGTATATTGTTTTTCCGGAAATGTACTAACATGTAACAAAAGTTACATGAGTGTTATCTCAATGTCGTTTCTGTGTGTGTTTTTCCAATAAATAAATTCGCAAACCAATACTATTTCTTAATACAAGTATATGTGAGTGATTTAGGATAATGAAATATTGCGTACATTCATTCTTAGTAGTATTGCTTTGCATCACAGTGAGTATGTCCTAATTTTTCAAAGAACCAAATATTTGCAATTATTTCATTTTTCAACAACAAAACAATTATGTAAATAGTCTGAGATCTCAGAGTTGCCAGACATTACTTATTTTCTGTAATTCAAAACGTGTATCACTTAAAAGCATTTATAGGGGGTGTTCCGTACCTAGTGAAATGGCTGAAATTGGTTTTTTCGTACATAGTCAAACATTTCAATATTCAGGTTCAATTTTGATAAAAAACAGAAAAGTTGAGAAGTCCGGCACTGGATTTTTCAGCCCTTCTTCTGGTTTTACGTTACTCCTAGGTAACTTTGTAATCGTACAAAATTTTAACAAAATTGGTTCTATAGTTCTTGGGCGATGTGATATTAAAGATTTGATTTGGTGCGTTTAGATAAATACCGCAAAACTGAATTTAGATCATTTTTATCTTCAGGTATGTAAAGGTGTCGGTCCATAATACCTACCTTTTCACTATGTCTATTTAAGATTTGCTAGTACCGGGTGAGGAAGGTTGAGTAAAAATAAGACTAACTTTACTTACATTATCCATCAGGAAAAATGTATTATTCAAAAGTTACAGAGTCTAACATAAAATGTTTCATGCAATATCTTTTTGTATACAGGGTGTCAGAGATATCGAATACAGTTTTTTTTTTAAATACAGAAGCTGCCGCAGAGGCAGAAACCCAAATACCAGGACACCGCAGCTGCTATGAGGAGCTCGAAGCCTTTGTTAATCCGATTTTTCATCTGACTAAGGTTAGTAGAACTTGGGAAAGCCTCATCAGGCAGATTGTTACACAATCTCGATACCCTAGGTACAAGAGAGCGGTCATATCAATCATCTTTGGATGTACGAAGTTCGACACGGTTAGGATGAGAGGCCGAAGTCGGGCGGGTCTGTCTGTCAAGCAAACCGCACCGGAACATCATGATGGAGAGCTCTGAGGAACAAAGCTCGTTGACATAGCGGTAGAGGAGTGCCAGATCGTCGACAGCTCGTCTGTGCGAAAGGGTCCTGATAATGTCTGCTAGAAAAGAGCCTCCGATCAGTCGAACAGCCCTCCTCTGGACAACTTCGAGCATGGATAAAGTACCCGGGCGGCAGCACCCCAAGCATGTGAGCAGTACCCCAGGCTAGGTCCTATCTGGGCCTGAACTCCGACCAACCGAAATGAACTGCTCTTTGGCAGAACTCGACCATAGGATGGACGTTTACGTAAGAATGCAGCATGCACGCTTTCATGACATCCCCGAGTGTCCCGTGTACAAAAATACTTATTCGATAGGATTTTTTTGAAACATCCTGTGCATAAAAGATGAAACATAAATAACTTTGTATTAGATCCTCTAATTTTTATATAGAACTTTTTTCTAAGCCGACATACAAACAACTTCAATTCATAGCGGGACACCCTGTTCAAAGCATCAGGCACTAGTCATGGCAGGTGGAAAATTAGACTTATTTTCACTCAAAATGTTCTCAGCTGCTACCAGCAAATCGAACTAATTTACTATCCAATTTAGTGGGCACGCAGAGGCCTTAAAAGTACATACATGTAAACGATACTCATCCCACGTTTTGACCTTTGGAAAATAAGTAATGTCTGGCTGCCCTGGAATCTTAACCATAACAATTTCATACATTATGAATATTTCTACGCTGTCTATGCTTGGACTGCATAGTAAATATGAATAATGAAATTAAGCAATAATTGATTGCTCTGGAATTGCAGGTTGAATACTTATAATGTTTATATTTATGTCAAATCTCTAAGTGGCTGTTTTACCAATAACTATCATCTTAATTAGTGAAAGTGTTGTTTTTTACATAATCGCATACAATATAAAAACGTACATAACGTGAAGTGGATCCGAGCTTACACAATATCACTCAGGGTTTTTTCGTGGGTTTCAGTAATAACGACGGCGATATGGCTAACAAACTTTAATGGTAGTAAGGCACAAAATAATTCACTAACTAAAACAACATAGAACCCGGTAATACTTAAATCCGGAAGATGGTCACGTCACCTGTTGCCTCTCTCGGCGGCGAAGGGCAACTATCCCCTAGCTCGATCTACCACAATTTTGTCCACTGTTGCCGAGTTGCCGCGCACCTCACTGAACCACTACACAACCCCCCACTTAAATCGAGGTAACATAGATTTAAGTCTCGAAACAGAGCAGAGGGTGCAAGGCAATACCGGGAACATTACTCCAGTACAACATCGCTAGGCTGCTTATAAGCTTTGAAATTGATCACATTTTCCTTAGAATGAATCTTACCATCAAGATGTCCAATGACATAGGAGTTGGGTCCCGCTTGTTGTAACACAGTATACGGTCCATCATACAGTAAAAAGAATTTTGAAATTAGTTTAGCTTCGGCGGACGAATGAGGATGCGTTCTAACTAGAACCTTATCGCCCGGGTCAAAAGTAACAGGTTTCATCACTTTAGCCCTCTTTACCCTTTTTGAAGCCTCCCTCTTCAGTTTTTCATACACCACACTTGTATCCTCCTTCAATGTCGTACAGTTTACATCGAAGCGCCACAAACGTAAACAAGAGACAACCCCCCAAGCTTCCTTTTCCGTTACGGTGTAGTTTAATTGACTTCCTTTCAAAACGGAACTCATGAAGCAAATATATTGTTTCTCCCCCGTATCGTTAATCTGGTAAAGACTGCCCCCCACGGCATATGCGGAAGCATCACATTGAATATAAAAAGTGCGCTTAAAATCAGGATGAACAAGCATCATGGACTTTAGGAAGGCTGACTTAATAGCTCTAAAACTCTCCATTTCATCGCTTCCCCAGCGCCATTTTTCTCCTTTCTTCAGCAACTTCAACAATGGCACGGTCAATTCGGCATACCCGGCGCAGAATCGATGTTCATAATTGACCAGACCCAAGAACCCTCGCAGCTCTCTTATATTTCGTGGAACAGGAAAATCAGAAATATTTTTGACACGCCCCTCGTCTATTTCGATTCCCCTTGAGGTGATCACATGACCTAGAAAATGTACCTTTTCCCTAATAAACTGACATTTTCTTAGTTTAATTGTAATTCCGGCATCACTAAGTCTCTGAAACATCGTCTTCAAATGCCTTAAGTGATCCGCTATGTTCTCCGAGTAAATTAATAAATCATCAACATATGACTGCGCGAAATCATTACAGCCCTCCAATATCTTATTTAAGCATCGAATAAGACTTGCCATGGAAGTAGATAACCCAAATGGCAATCGACAAAAACTATATGTTTCACCCTCGAACACAAACCCAAGATATTTGGTATGATCCGGCAACACTGAAATTTGCCAATATGCTTGCGTCAAGTCTATTGTGCTCATAATTTGCCCCTGTTTAAAATTGGCCATTAATTCAAACGGATTGGGAGGATTCACGAAATCCTTCTTCATCTTTGAGTTCAGCCCCCGAGCGTCCAAACACACGCGAATATTCCCATCCCTTTTCTTCACGCAAACTAACGGCGAAATGTAGGAAGTTATTTCCTTTTGAATAACACCGGCCGCTAACATTTCACCAATCTGCCTTCTAACTTCATCCCGATAAACCATAGGAACAGGATAAGCCACAAAATTAAATTCATTTTCATCCACTAGCTCAATTTGATGAAAATAGTTGACGACGCGTCCCGGTGTATCAGAGAATGTATTCCTATATTTTTCCAAAATACTTAAAAGTGAAGCCTTAGCACTCCCACTCAAAGTAGTTTTCGCCGCTGCTGCCTGAATATCCTTCGCGCTGTAGCCTTTACTGCGGGAATCACCGTCATCAACGCTGTACTCTACCAGTGGCGTAACCCTGCTAGCTTTATTTTCGACTACATCAAACACATAATCATTTTTCTCGCAGAGGTTTATAGATATTTTCTGCGGATCAATCCGAAATGACAGCTTCGTATTTATGGAAACCCCTTCTATCATTAGCTTCAGCTGTGAATATTGATAATCCAAACGTGCATGATGCTTGGATAACCAATTTGATCCAAATATCAAATTGCAATTGAGTTGTGGTATAACCAAACAGTTCACATCCATATCTATTCCATCTAATTGAACTGGAATCAAGATTTGCGACTTTATCTTCTGCGTTTTACCGCCTATTGCTACAGAGATCACTCCTCGTATGACCGGTAAAATTGGAAATTTCCCGAGATTGCTTAACTCTGAATAGAATTTCTCCGAGATTGCGCATATATTTGAGCCGCTGTCGATCAATACTTCTACCAACGTACCAAAAATATGTATCGATATGGTCGGCGAAACTTTTTCATCATCCTGCACTATATCCTCCGGGTCGCTTAAAAGATCGATGTCCGGATCCCCCATGCAAGCCAGTGAACGCACGGTACGTCCCTCATTACTTCCCCTACCGGTCGACCGCGTATCTCTCGATATCTCGGAACTTGTTCGATTATTTTCAGATCGATTACTATAACCCTGCGCATTATTCATGTTCCTATTCGAACCCCCCACAGTAGACAGTTCGTCAATACGTCTCAGATATTCCTCTACTGTATCAGGCGACGTAAAATTATTAATAATCATGCCCCGCTGGACTTCCACATCAAAATGTTTTACCAACATTCCAATTACATTTTGCATCGGAATTTTATTATCAAGAAACTTTGCTTGCGCCACCAGATTCAAGAAATATTCTGCTCGACTGCCATACGAGTGCGTACCGTAGACCAACGTCATATACAACTCTCTTTGTTCTTCAATGCTCCAGAATCTATTTTTAAATGCTAGACGAAATGAAACATAGTCGGTAAAACAATCCTCCTTAACGCTAGCCCAATCGACCGCCGAACCTCTTAAGCAACCAACAGCTAAACCCAACTGCGCATGCTCAGGAACACCTGCATCGCTAAATATTTTTTCAATTTTCTTTAAAAATAGCATTGGGTGCATTTGCCCATAGTTTGAAAATGTGACATTACCACCCCCTAACTCTTTCCAGTTTATTATATAGGATCTATCTTTAATTACAGTCGAACAATCATCTATTCCTTTAGAAGTACAAACAGTCTCCGGCACTGTCTCCATTCCAGACATCAGGCCCTCATATCGTGTGTCGGACGTCGCCACCTTCTCAGCTAGTTGTCCTACCGTACTTTTTAACTCTGTCACTGATATTGCCAAATTTCTAACTAAAGACTCAAGGTCCTCCTGCACCTCCTTTGTACTCTCTGCCCTGCCTCTCCGCGACTTTTTGCTAGACATTTCTACAGCTTACCTAAACGACAAATCGTTACAATACTACAGTAAACTAAAACAAGGAAAGTTTTTTTTTTTTGTTACAATGACTGTTTCAACACAGTAAATAATCGTTCATATCCCCTCTGCTCCACCAGCTATCTCTTAACGCCTCACTGCTTCTCTACCAGCGCCTCGGTGCTCGTACAGAACCCCCCAGCAGCATACACACCCTCAGCTTTCCAAAATAAAATGACTTCTCACCCAGATCTGCTTACTCCTCTTACAACCGACAACACCGCCTGGCTCGTGCCGCTTGAACACAGCAACGCCTCAACGCCTGTTTCTGCGTCACGTCGTGCCGCCAAAATCAACCGTCTTCACCTACGCGTACTGTTTTCGTCGCGTCTCGTTCCTTCTCTATCTAACACCTTGCAACCGTATCGCGCTACGCCGTTTTACTGCCACGAGTTGGGCGCCAAATGAAGTGGATCCGAGCTTACACAATATCACTCAGGGTTTTTTCGTGGGTTTCAGTAATAACGACGGCGATATGGCTAACAAACTTTAATGGTAGTAAGGCACAAAATAATTCACTAACTAAAACAACATAGAACCCGGTAATACTTAAATCCGGAAGATGGTCACGTCACCTGTTGCCTCTCTCGGCGGCGAAGGGCAACTATCCCCTAGCTCGATCTACCACAATTTTGTCCACTGTTGCCGAGTTGCCGCGCACCTCACTGAACCACTACAAACGCAACAAGCTTTTAAATACAAAATGAGTTCAATGAGTCTCAGTAAAATTATCTATTCATCAAGAAACGCATAATTTTCTCCATTACACTTTTTTTCTGAAAAAAATGGAGTTAAGTAGGTTGACTCTGTACTTTCCACACAATTCTGTCATCAGTTAGATTATGTTCGGTTTATTTCCAGGCCTAACACCATATCAACTAAGACTCAATAGAAATACATCAAAAATATTGTATGTGATAGTTAGAGTCGACCTACACACAAATCTTATTCAAACGACTGTGATGAAATCAAAATCTGTGCAGGTATAATCGATTAACTATGAGATGTATATCAATTGTTGTTTTAAATTTATTTATTATTACTAAATCGTGAAACAATAAAAAATAAACCTCACATTTCTGTTTCAATGGCAAATATACTAAGTGACAATTAAATCCGAACACCCAGTTTAAATGGTTTTATTTTAATAAAATTTTGTATAAGTACTTAATGAAGCATAATAAGTAAATGATAAAAAAAGTTCAAAATGATTGCGCTGCTTTAAAGCCCTTTGACCTTTAATAATGTGTGGATGCACCCTGATGTGCTACGCATTCTCCAACGCGCCTAGGCCTGCTTCTGATCAGGTGGACAATGTCCTCCTGTGGTATCTCATTCCAGGCAACCACCAACTCCTCTCGAAGTGCTTCTAGAGTCTGAGGAGGACGTTGCAAATTGAGCAATCTCCTACCCATCATATCCCACACGTGCTCAATTGGGGATAAGTCGGGAGATCTTGGTGGCCATGGTAACAATGTGACATCATTATGTTGAAAGAAGTCTATTGTGACTCTTGCAACATGTGGTCGGGCATTATCTTGTTGGAAAGTTGGATCTGCCAGGGTGTCAAGATAGGGTAAAAGATGGGGTTCTAGAACTTCGTGGATATAACGCTGCGCGTTCATGTTACCTCTGATGAAGATTAAAGGTGACCTGGAACCATAAGCTATTGCACCCCAAACCATAACTCAACAGTGTGATGAACATGTCTTTCAACAAAAAACTGTGGATTCCTCCTTTCACCACGTCGCCTTCTAACCCTGGCACGACCATCGTGCATGCCTAAACAAAATCGAGACTCGTCACTAAAGACAATACTGTTCCATTCCTGATCCCAGAGTGACCGTTGTCTGCACCACTCAAGGTGATTACGTCGGTGTTCTCGAGTTAAAGGGATGACCCAGTGTGGCCGGTATGAAAACAAGCCAAAACTTCTCATTCGTCGGTAAACACGTCGCATGCCAATAGGTCTTCCGTGTTCTGCAAACCATTCATTTGCAATGGACCTGGTAGTGGAGAAACGGTCGCTTAAGGCCAATAATCTTAGGCGGCGATCTTCACGGTCTGTTGTTCTACAGCGGCGTCCAGTGCCCCTTGCTCTTTGCGTACGGCCTTCTCGGAGCCATGCCTGACAACACCTAACCACAGTGTCTACACTTCTCTGCACTCTAACTGCAATTGCCCGAAAAGAAAGTCCAGCTTCCCGAAGTCCCACTATACGGCCCCTATCAAATTCACTAAGTTGACGAAATCGTACAGGTCTCCGTACTCTAGGCATCGTAACCGATCGTAAAAGATGTCAAGAACCAAAATCCGCCAACGTTGATTCTTTACTGCGGCTGAAATATTCATTTTTAGAGCGTTAGAGAATTAAAAAAAAACAGTGTAAAAACCGGAATGTCCAACTGATAAGGCTGAACATTTTTTCACTTGTTATTTACAGTAAGATAAATACATTCACCAACTTTTATTAAAATAAAACCATTTAAACTGGGTGTTCGGATTTATATGTCACTTAGTATATATAGATACTGACTTTTTAACGTTATTTTCCCATAAATAATTAAAAATGCATCGAACATTAAAAATCGAAATATCTCAAAAACGGCTAACTATAACGAAAATTCACAAGAGAGCTTTTTTATGTTGAAAAGTGCGAATATTGTTCGAAATATTTAAAAAAAACTATTTTAGAAAGTAAATTTAAACACTCTGTATTTCGGAAGCCACGCATTTTGCGACCCATGTTTATATAGACTTTATGCATTGATTTTAAAAGATCTATCGAATCTTAAAGTTATGCAACAATAAACTGAAACACCCTGTATTATCTATACCCTCCCATGTTTGTGGTTTCATTGGCCAGGCGAACATGGGAGTTTATCGATATGGAAACTACAGAATAAGGTTCAGATGTTAAATAATTATCTTTACTATTCATAATATTGCTGGGATGACACATTTCTCGATAGTAGAACGCCTGACGCTGAACCATAACAGTTACGTTGATATTATGCGTTGACGCAAAATCCATGTTAAATCTACTTATGATACAAAAAAACAAAAGTAATGTGTCAAACAGTCCAGACACCGTTGTCGGAATTTCTACCAACTCATGGTAAAATATAAGCCGTGCGACTATGGTTTGCGTGTGCTGCAGAGACGGGGATCGGGACTCGAGACGTGTAGCTTAACAGGGGCGATTTGAACTTAATTTGACTGATAGATGGATAGTATTACCGAGATCAGCAGCTTCTTAATGAAAGAACTTATTTCACTGATACCAAAGATGAGACATTTACAGCCCTCCATCCCCTACAGCCCTAACTTTCAACCCTTCAAGAAACGTTTCCAAAAATGACCAGGATCCTACGATGCGTTCAGTGATTTTTATTTTTTACGTTAATTGCCCGCAGCTCCGCCGCCGCTGGATCGATTTTAGAAATTGCAAATATTTTTCGTCCTTAGCACAATAGTAACCTTGTGTCAAAATTTCATTAAAATCTGACCTATACCTTGCAAGTTATAGCGGGGCCAAGAATTAGCGGACAGACCGACAGACGGACCTTTCAAAAATGATTGTCATGGTTTTTCGCACATAAATATCATATAAAATCGAAGAAACAATACCTGATTGTCGACATTTTTCGTGATTGCAATATTTCCACACCAGATGGCATGGGAAGTAATTTTATCAACTAGAGTGTATTGTTAGGAACAATATGAGCAACATCGCTTTTCCAAAAAAGGTATGACAAACGACCGAAGTTTCGCCGCTTTGCTACATGTCTCGTTGCCACTTGCCCAGTTTTTTATTCGCAAATTAATTTGACATACCAAATTATTTCAGAGGCATTATGAATGCAGATCAAATGCCCAATATCACATAACTACCTACAATCAAGTACCATCACGTCCTTCAATAGATGTAAAGGCTTTTGATTCATCAGTTATGGGGTACGAGAAAAATAAAAACCCTAATTGCTTCGGATTTCGACCTCGGTTTCCAGGTAATACATTGATTTTCTTTTTTAACACGCTTTTATTAGCTTGGCCTGTATCTTTGAGCATAGTTTTCACCAATTTCCAGAAGTTTGATTAATTTGAAACTTCGCACACGTATCAATTTGTTAATAGTTTTCCATTATCCTTATGAGAAAAATTCTGTAAAAAACAGATATGTTAATGAAAAGCCACGGACTTCGAATGCCGCTTTACGAATAGTAAATGTAGCAGCCTCTGTAGCTCAGTGGCAGAGCACTGGTCATGTAAACCAGAGGGGTTGTGAGTTCAATCCTCACAGGAGACAGATTGTGGTATACCTTTTTTTATATTTGCTCTGACTTGAATTATTCTGTTAATAACTTAGATTTTATTATAATTTTATTTTGAGGTCATTTATTATGATTGATTGTTCGACGATCCACTACTGTAATATACTAAGTGACATATAAATTCGAACACCCAGTTTAAATGGTTTTATTTTAATAAAAGTTGGTGAATGTATTTATCTTACTGTAAATAACAAGGGAAAAAATTTTCAGCCTTATCAGTTGGACATTCCGGTTTTTATACTGCTTTTTTTTAATTCACTAACGCTCTAAAAATGAATATTTCCGCCGCAGTAAAGAATCAACGTTGGCGGATTTTGGTTCTTGACATCCTTTACGATCGGTTACGATGCCTAGAGTACGAAGACCTGTACGATTTCATCAACTTAGTGAGTTTGATAGGGGCCGTATAGTGGGACTTCGGAAAGCTGGACTTTCTTTTCGGGCAATTGCAGTTAGAGTGCAAAGAAGTGTAGACACTGTGGTTAGGTGTTGTCAGGCATGGCTTCGAGAAGGCTGTACGCAAAGAGCAAGGGGCGCTGGACGCCGCCGTAGAACAACAGACCGTGAAGATCGCCGCCTAAGATTATTGGCCTTAAGGGACCGTTTCTCCACTACCAGGTCCATTGCAAATTAATGGTTTGCAGAACACGGAAGACCTATTGGCATGCGAAGTGTTTACCGACGAATGAGAAGTTTTGGCTTGTTTTCATACCGGCCACACTGGGTCCTCCCTTTAACTCGAGAACACCGACGTAATCTTCTTGAGTGGTGCAGACAACGGTCACTCTGGGATCAGGAATGGAACAGTATTGTCTTTAGGGCCGAGTCTCGATTTTGTTTAGGCATGCACGATGGTCGTGCCAGGGTTAGAAGGCGACGTGGTGAACGGAGGAATCCATAGTTTTTTGTTGAAAGACATGTTCATCACACTGTTGGAGTTATGGTTTGGGGTGCTATAGCTTATGGTTCCAGGTCACCTTTAATCTTCATCAGAGGTAACATGAACGCGCAGCGTTATATCCACGAAGTTCTAGAACCCCATCTTTTACCCTATCTTGACACCCTGGCACCAAGATCTCCCGACTTATCCCCAATTGAGCACGTGTGGGATATGATGGGTAGGAGATTGCTCAATTTGCAACGTCCTCCTCAGACTCTAGAAGCACTTCGAGAGGAGTTGGTGGTTGCCTGGAATGAGATACCATAATAGGACATTGACCACCTGATCAGAAGCATGCCTAGGCGCGTTGGAGAATGCGTAGCACATCAGGGTGCATCCACACATTATTAAAGGTTAAAGGGCTTTAAAGCAGTGCAATCATTTTGAAATTTTTATCATTTACTTATTATGCTTCATTAAGTACTTATACTTTATTAAAATAAAACCATTTAAACTGGGTGTTCGGATTTATATGTCACTTAGTATATAAACTCTCTGTAATTAAAAATTATGTTCTACTTTTTAGTAAAAGCGTGTTTTTTTTGTTTTTTCAAAATATTGTTTATTATAAATAATTCAACGATAATGACCATTATTTTCGTAATTTCTTGAAGTACGTATCAATGAAGCCAAAAAATATCAAAATCCAAATTTTAAAGAAATTCCATGCCAAATTAGACGATATTTTATTTGTTAATACACAATTTAGCAATGTAGAATTCATATTCTGTTGCGTGACAATTATCCGAGTGTTCATAAAAGTTTGTTTAAAGCACTGATTCATAATTTTGTGATCAAATTTTTGTTTTCTATTTTTCAGGTCGCAGTACGAGTACCTCAACGACTCCAGCACCAGCCGGCAAATAAACTATGTTTTTGAATGTAAATGTGAATAAATGAATTGGAATAATGTATCCTAAAGCAAGAGAATGAACATCATTAAGTTCCACCTTTCGCATATTAGATCCTACTGTGAAACTCTCGAAGGAACAAGCTCCGCTGGTAATAATATAAAACCCAAAAATTGCCATACGCACCTCCCTGGAGAGAGGTTAAATTCCAGAAAGTATGGATACTGTATAGTTAAGTATAGTAACACAACTGAAACAACGAATAAATCGGAGCAGTTCAAAAAAGTGTGAATCTATGTATAGATAAGTCGTTTAGCATAACAGAAGAACTGCTAAACAGAAAACGAACTATATACCAACGATGACTGTGGAAATCACCTGGATCAGTGAGGACGATGGCTCAGTATCCTGCTTACTATGCTTTAGCACTCCTCGAATTCATACCATTTATCTATACAGGATGGCGACCTCACTCTTCCTAATTTGGTTATCAAACGATTACATCCAGCACCTATTATAAATAATATTTTCTACTTTTATAGAAAGCATAATCTCCTAAATGAAGATATAAGACAGAGGTTAGATACACCGACAATACTTATAGACCTTAACAAAACAACACAACTGATACGATATGGGTATATGAGGAGACGACCTGGAGATAGACTACTCCAAAGGATTCGGAGCGGTTTCCAAGACTTAGAAGAAAGGGGGCAACGCCGAAATGAACCTGGCACCAAGATATAGCTCAGCTACACAGTGATCTGTGGCAGAATACAAAGGCTTGGACAATAGAATGCGATAAATGACCAATGTAGCTCTAAAACAACCGCAGCATATATATTGTAGCGTTTTTCTGGGTTCTTTTGGGTGTGGATTAAAACACTGGATTCCACAAGAAGAAATGCACTAATTTATTTAACTCGATAAAACATTTATATGCACCATTATTTATGTCTGACTAATTCTTATGTCACCATTGACTGCACTATACTTCTCTCCGCTCTGCTACTCTACCGTATTCCGTACTCTGCCTCCATCTTCCGGCCGGCGAGCTATATATAGACCCCATTTACCCCTTCGAGAAAAACCGGGTGAACCACAGAACGACATGTAGAATGTTGAAGATCACTTCGAGTCGATCTAGAAGGCGAACCACTGTCACGGTCCTCACAGACGCCGCCTGGCGGCTTGTGCGGCAGTGGTTCGCCTAAAAGCAGAGATCGGCAATTAAGATCTGGCGAGTAGGAGACTCGCCCAACAGATGGCGCTATTTGTCACAATATTATCTATATAGAATTTCACACTTTTTTATGACCCTGTTTTTTCAGCAATAACCGCTCATCCCTACTCCCAGAAAATTATCCACCTCAATCTATCCATGGATTTGATTTACCGTGCTAGAAAAAGTTATTAATGTGGAGCAGAATCAACGTTGGAACTAAAAACGGACGTTGTGTACATCATGTGAAATCGAGGATGGAAGGTGTGAGCGTAATATAAATCAAGGCGAACCAGGATTGAGGAATCTTCCAGTGATAATGGCGGTGTTATGCAGGTTACCAAACAAAGCTGGTGGAAATTTTCCATAATAGAGCATACACAATCTAACTGGATGTTTTATATCACAATATTTTATGTCATGATAAATGCATTAACACTTAAATATGCATCTATAATTATCACTAATTTATATGTGATATAAAATTGTATTATATAATAATACCAACTTCCGAATTATTAGCCCAGGAAGTGACTTGTTACCTGTCCCATTTCCGATATTTAGAGAAAATTAACGCCATTTACGGCATTACTGATTAGTGACCCAACCTTATATGTATGTGTAAAAATGTATAGGTAGTTATCATTCGTATCTAAACAGAGCACCGCTCAAATAAGCCACAATGTGGTATTCATCGGCGATATGTGCGATTTTTCTAATTACTTTGGTAAGTTATATTAATGACGAATCTACTTGCTAGCATACGTTAATCCTGTAGCAAATAGTATGTAAATTTCTTCGACTTATGACATTTTTACAATTATATATTTTATCACTTGTGAGGATCGGCTATAAGAACAATTCAGTAAAAATGCATAAGCAGATAAGCGTACGAAACATTAAAATTATAATCAAAATTGAGCCTACTCTCTTTGGTAAAAAAGCCTCAAGTTGGATGGTTGGAAATGGTTCCTTCAAGACAAAATCGACTTATTATTATAAAAATGAATATTTCACTTTTTTACCCAAAAATAATTTATAGCAAAATCCGCCCACATCGATCTTTGCACTAATCCTTCCGTATCTGCGATCTGGATAAAAACTCTCAATACTCGAGTTTCAAAACGGACAGACAGTTTATGTGACACGCCGTACGCTAGTGTAAACGCAGCGTGCCTTTGTATGGTCAAAGTACAGGCTGTGTTAACAGCAGCGTACGACGTGCTTCATTACTCTCTTCGGTTTCGGTACTAGCTTGTAGATACGAGCTTTATGTCGGTTTTTCGTTGTGTTCGATAGGAGAGTCCAAAAGGATTTTTTCAGTGCTGTATTCGAAGTTGGCGTCTCAAATTAAGCCCATTGACAGTTTTTCTTGCGCATTTCAACGGAGGAGGAAAATGGAAGTTTTGCGTGGTGAAATTATGGAAGGTTGAAGGCATAGTGGTTGGAGAGTATTTGCAAAAATTCTTGTGCACCTGCAGTTTGGATGAAAACTCGTTTCTCAACTGAATCATGCGAGTGAATGACAAATCTGACATTAGTTTCTCACTACAATCGTTATTTGCGGTAAAATCTACAAAGGGGCTTAAGAGAGCCACTTTTCCTGTCCAAACAACGTTTATCGGCTCTTAGGCCCGTATCGTCAGTCGTCCCTACAATTGGACGTCGCGTTTATGGCCTCCTTGATTGTCATAGTTTTCTACTTCTCCGTGTCAGCGCTCTATTTTGAGGTTATATCACAAACATCTATTTGCATCAAATTGTGCTTGCTTTTGAGTTATATCATGTTTTATCAGCCTGAAATTTCCTACAATTTAAAAAGAAAACATATCTTCACAATAGGAGAGCGCTGACGCTGACACGGGACAAGTGTAATCTAGAAATTTTTGAAGGAGAGAAAGGAGTATGACAATCAAGGAGGCCATAAACGCGCCCTACAATTGTAAGGACGACTGACGATACGGGCCTAAGAATTTATTGATAACGATATCCGTGATCGACATGCGAAATTAACCAAGCGCACTCACTTTCGTCGGTTTGAGATGAAAGTAGATATTTTGAGATGAAACCTCAAAATTTAATAATTCAATCTACTATCTATTTACTATATATATATATATATACATATAGCAATTAGCAATCTAACATGAAATCAGTTGCAAATTTATATAGTTTAAAAGCAGCGAATTAAATTCTTAAAACAGCCAGTTTTTAAATTCAGAAGTAATTTTAAGCAATAAAAGTGTGAAACCGTGATGTATAATATATCGCTCTGATAATAGATGGCGCTGTGGGTGAATAGTATAGTTTTTTGTACATAAATTATCGGTTTTTTTGGGGTTAGTTGGGCTCGCTTTCTTCAGATGGCGTTGCAACAGGTGGCACTCGAAAGTAGTTAAGTTAATTGCGTCTCCTTTAACCCGGTATTTCTATTTTCTCCTCTTCAAAACACCCCTCCAGCATAGTCTGGTAGCAATGCCCCAGCTAGGCATGCAGCAGATGCAAGAAGAGCAGTCGAACCAGGTGGGCGGAGGTATGGGTTTGAACCTGGGCCTAGGCTTGAACGGAGGCATGTTCAACCGCAACCAGCAGATGAGGAACCGGATGTTGGGCATGGCAGTTGGGCTACCTCATAAACCTGGATGTCATGGAAGAGGACCTAGGCCTCCACCACCTCAACCACCTGCTTCCAGTAAGTCATTCCGAGATTATACGAGGATAATTCCAAAAGAACGATCGTTTATTTCTTTTTGTACAAAACGTTTATCTATTTTTTCTACATAATAACATAATATCGACTTTCTGATCGATGTGTGCTGTGGCAGTTTTTGCTTTTGTACGCTGATGTCACACTGCTCACCCTCAGGTGGTTGAGGAAGCACTGGACCTCATCTCTCACTTCGTTGTCGGAAAATCTCCTTTTTCAACCGGTAGTGGTACTGCGAAGCAATGAAAAAACTGAGATACGCAATTCAGAACAGAATGGCGCAAACATTCTCGTCGCCCTTCAAATTGTCGCTCTTCTTCAATGACCCGACCTACAGTCCGGACTTGGCACCCAGTGACTAGATACCGCTTGTTTCTTAAGTTGAAATTACATTTGACTGGGCGATTCAGTTATGCACACAAATAAGCTCACCTCACTTCAGTTCACTTTAAACATCAGATTTGACAGCCTCATGCTTATTAGACTGTCTCACTTCACTTTCAAAAGGAACACCACAGAAAGTGAAAAACGAGGTCCAATGCTTGGCGGGATAGCAGAAACCTTTAGCTTAGATATAATATGCGTTTTGAAAGTTTCCGCTTGACAAAGAGGTTCGATATTACTAAAATATTATTTATTTTCAGCCACAGCTGCGCCTACAAATGGCACAAACGCTGGTTAAGAGGTATAGTTCAATAGTATAAGTAGCAACTTAGTACACTAGTGTTCAGAACTACTGCAATACATTCCGCTGATATGATGTTTCTTCCTGACGATACACATTACACGCTTTGCACCCGGCACTAAATATTTTTTAGTCGTGCGTCTCTAGTTGGGGTAGTTTGCGACATATTCTCGCACACGACAGTGGGATTTTATTTTTTATTGTTGTGATTCTGGTCATCGTTTGTCATTGTACTGTCACTTTCGTAGTTATTTGATTTTTTAAAACGGGTGTTGGAAAAATGTGGTGAGACGTTATAGCTATTTCCCATGCGACGTACTATGGAGGGGTAATTTCAAAAGTTCTTGCAAGTCTGCGAACGCGACTAAAAATCTGTAATGAAGGTAGGATTCATTTTCCTACTCAAAATAGGCCGTATACCTTCGACTTATTTGCGTACCATTTACGAGCCCCTTCCCACTTCAGTTGGCCCACTTCAAGATTTGTACCAAAATATGCCTTTATAAACTTAACATGACGAAACTATTTACTTCTAAAACAATTTATTTTCTCAAAAACATTTTAGATACTCTAGTCGTAAAAAATACGTATTTGAAATCACTTAGACCTATAACTAATAGAACATCTGAACAAATAAACAATGTGCGAATAAATGCGCAAAGTTAACAAAGCAACAACCCATTGGGTAGCATCACCTTTATTTTTTATTACGGCTGAAATTCTTTGGGGTATAGTGCTAACCAAGTTTTGACAAAAATTTTGTGTAAAACAATCCCATATTTCTTGAAGTTTTTGTCACAGTTCGGTGATTGTACGAGCAGGATGTTGTCGTAGAACCTTTTTCATCTCGTGCCACAAAGTTTCAATAGGTGACAGATCTGGACTGCTAGAAACCCATTTTAAAAGTGGTACATTATTTTCTTCCATCCATTTTATAGCCTTTTTGAGGTATGGTACACTGCACCATCTAGCTGAAACACAAAATCTTGGCCGGATGTCAAACATTCTCCATCACTGGTAAAACCGATTCTTCTAAAATTGCCAAATATTTGTTTTAACCACATTTCCATCAATAAAATGAAGTTTTCCTACTTCTTTTGATGACATACTGCCCCAGACCATAATGGATGCTGGAAATTTCACTTTTCTCTTCTGACAGTCAACATAGAAGGCTTAATTTTTAGCGAATAAGTCTACTGCGACTGTCACCAACACAAACTTCGAATCGGGCCTCATCACTCCAATGTATTGCAAACTATTGTTGAGGTGTCCATTGTCTATGTTCTTTAGCCCATCTAAGCAGATTTTTCTTTTGCAGTGGAGTTAATAGTGGCTTTTCTTTGGCCTATAAACAAGTTATGCAACTTTAGGGTTTTTACTTCACTTTTTTTATAAGAAAACTTACCTTGCAAGTGCTAAATCCCAGTTTATGGGCCTCTCTATGAGTTGTGGACCTCGAAATTCTCCTTCCAACAGCATTACTCCACAGAGCACTTAATTGTAAATAATTGGCACGCCTGTTTTTCACGATTATTCTTCTTAATGCTCTTCGGTCGGCATTTGTGATATTACTTTTTTTCACATATCGTGGCTTAATATTAACTGAACCAGTTATGTTATACAGGGTGGTCCATAAGTCCTTTGAAATTTCAAATTTGAATAAAATTTAACGGGTGAGCGTGAGCGGCGCGGGCGAGGTGGGGGCAGTATCTTCAGTGTCTGGGAATTCAGTCGCCATGGAGTGTTTCACTGGAGCGGATCGTGCTTTTTGTGTGCGCGCGTTTTATCAAAATAATGATTCGGCAACCATTGCGCGGCGTAAATATCGACAATACCACAATTTACACAATTTTACAAAGTGTCCAACAGCTCAAACGATTAAGAACTGGGTTGCTAAGTTCGAAGAGACTGGTTCGACATTAGATAAACAGCGGTGGGGTCGACCAAGGACAACTCGTATTGAAGAAAACATCAACATTGTGGCACAGTTTGTTCGTCAAAATCCTACCCAGTCTACTCGTAAGCGTTCCAGTGCACTAAACGTACCCAGAACATCTTTACAGCGGATTTTAAGGAAAGATTTACGTCTGCACGCTTACAAAATTCAGTTAGTGCAGGAATTAAAAGATAATGACGCTATTCAGAGACTAAACTTTGCGAATGAAATGTTGAATCGATTTTCTTCGCTCAATAATGTGTTGTTCTCGGACGAGGCTCACTTCCATTTAAATGGGCATGTAAATAAACAAAATTGCCGTTATTGGAGCCCCGAAAATCCAAGGCGTAAGCATCAGAAGCCCTTACACAGCCCTAAAGTTACAGTTTGGGCTGCTATGTCAGCGCATGGCATCGTAGGCCCTTATTTTTTTGAGGACGACAGAGGTCGCGCATTAACTGTTACTTCGGAGCGGTAGGTAGCAATGATAGAAAAGTTTTTGACACCAGCGTTACAGAATTTTCCAGGCTATAATACGCAGACCTGGTTTCAACAGGACGGAGCAACTGCCCACACCTCCAACACTTCTATGCCCGTCGTCTGTCAACTTTTTCCCAGCAAAGTAATTTCTCGAAGAGGATACATTTCCTGGCCACCACGTAGTCCAGATTTGACCCCAATGGACTTCTTTTTATGGGGCTACCTCAAGAGTAAAGTGTACGACACCACTCCGCGATCAGTTGATGTCCTGAAAGAAAATATCCGAAGAGAAATGGCAAGCATTACAGTGTTGACTTGCCGCGCAGTTTAGACGTCGCTTATATGAGTGCCGTGATCGTAATGGATTTCATTTAGACGATGTGATTTTTAAAACATAATTCCCATTCAATAAAGATGATAACAAAATATAATAATTCTTCATAATGTAACTAGTTTGGTTTTATTCCTTTTTTTCCAGCTCAAAGGACTTATGGGCCACCCTGTATTTTATCTTCTAACAATATTTCTCACACTGTACCGCGATAAGTCTAACAAAGTTGCAATTTCTGAGTTTGATTTTCCAGAATTGAAAAATTTAATTATCAGTAACCGAATTTTCTCACTAATAACCTTTCCTCTACCCATTTTGAAAACCTTAACTACCCAAAACTATTTTAAACGTATTCTGACAGCTGTGATTAATAAAAACAATTGTCATGGCTTTTATTTTTCACAGCCACCTATGCGTTATAAGACTTATTTTGCATTGAAAATGTGTTTTTTATTATTTTATTTTTATGCTGCAAATTTGATTAGGGAGTGATAAAGTTGGTGTTTTCTACTATATATATTATCAAAATATTCATTGTTAATATTTTAAACCTATAACACCCTGCTACATTTTTATTATTTGTGTTTGATAATAAAAAAAGTAAGATTTCAATAGTTGGGCCAACTGAACTGGGAAGGGGCTCGTATGTTTGCTATTTGACAATAAGTCTAAATTCACTAAATTTTTCAATTTTCAAAATTTCCACCTTTTTTCTAAACTTCCAAATCTTCAAATTATTTTTCAAATTTTTGAAATTTAATTTTTATCCAAATCTCAAAACTTAAATTTTTATTAAAATTTCAAATTCGAAATTTTGACCAAGGTTATTATATTTTACGTCGGCCATTGAAAAATTCCCCAACATAGGCTTTTTTATTCATATATTCAATGCAGATCCCATTATTTCGAAAACACTTTAGTACAGTTATGTCTAATTTAAGCCAATTAGCTTGTAATACATTTAGCAGGATAAAAGTATAGTGCACTGTTCCTGATGTTAAATTTTCATTTTCAGCAGTATCAACATCGACAAGCCGAAGCGCAAGTCCCAGAGATGGTAGACATGACTCAGGAGTAACTCTCACGTCGTTATGTATTTTATGCAATAACTGTATTAAATCTTTAATAAATTCTAACTATAAATTTTTCCAGTGCTGCGTATATTACATATATAAACGACAGAGACAATGTATCGATCAGCAATACTTTCCCTACTTACAGAATGCACTGAAATAGAAAAATATCCTTTTAATATCAGACAATCCCATATCGACCGGACTATAACGGCACAGTTCCTTACGTAGCCTAACGTTGAACGGGATGAACACGGGGTGAACTGTTGCACCATCTCTAGTCAACATAACGACCATAAAACAGCATCGTTCCATGTTCAACTTTTTGCTTTTTCTCCATAACCTCACTTTTTCGATATTTTCCCGCGTCTTCTGTTTGTGTGATTGTTTGCTGATGTGCCTTTAATAAAAAAAGTACAAAACGGTGAAAACTCTGTAATTATTGATATAGGAGCATTTTCCCGTGATTTTCATCTAGACAGTGTAAGCAAAGCGCCTGAATTTGGTACAAATGGCAAAACGAGATTACCAGAAAGACAGAGGTGAGTAAAATATTCAGTTGCTGATTTGAGGTCTGAAAGTACTAAAGGATGAAATGATCTAGCCTACCAATAATGCCCCACATTTTTCCCTATATGGAATGCTATTAAACATCATTCTCCAAATACTGTAGATGCTTTTTAAGGACATTGTCCATTTTATATAATGTCAACAGCAATTGCTTATTTTAATATTAAACTTATATTGTGGCTCAATTTTAGAGCAACTGAAGACGTTTCTACTCGAGTACTGCACTCAAGATGCTTTTGGTAAAAAGACGTTCAAGTATTCTGAACAACTCTCAAAAATTGCTCACAGAGAACAGCCTGCCATGTGGGTGGAATTGGACGATGTTAACAATTTTAGTGATGATCTAGCTGAAGCTATCACCAAAAACACTAGGAGATATGTGCATATGTTGTCTGATATAGTATTTGAATTGTTGCCGACCTTTGTAACAACACCAGTGCCTGCAAAGGATGCTTTAGATGTTTACATTCAGCATCGTTTGATGATGGAAAATAGAATGAGGCAGCCTAATGAACATAAGGATTCTAGGAACAACTTTCCACCAGAGTTGTTGAGGAGATAGTAAGTTTGAAGCCATTATAGGTAGCTTAACTTCATGGGTAACATTGCTAAATTTCTTAAATAATCGACTATTTTAGTATTTGCTTAAATAATACTTTAATCTATTGATTTTGATTGTTGATTGAAATACATGTACAGAAAGGACAACTTTATGAATATCTTTTATGCATTTCAAAGCTTTACAACATGATTTTTAAAACTTGTAAAATTATCATTTTTTTCATTTGAATTTTTTTAATGTCACTGAAACTACATTTTGAGCATTTCTTTTCAATCATTTTTTGTCAAAAATGAACATTTTGATGCAAATACTTTTCAACTACACAAAAATCAATACTATGTATTTCTTTAGTTATACTGTGTGTGCCATCTATTACTTTTTTCTTACCTATAAGCTTAGGCGTATTTTTTAATTCACCGGTGGAGTCAACTTTGATGTTTGGATGTTGGCTTGTAAACGAAGCCGCTGTGGTCACATGACTGATGTTATTTTTCATACGTAAATGGCATAAACCAACCTTCATTTATCAACCAAAAAATTCGATTTCACGTCGTAAAAAGTAATAGATGACGCACCCTGTACACATGTTCAAAGTATTGTTTCTAAGCAAAATCTATAATTTTTCAAAGATATTTGTTTAGCTTCAACACTATCAATGCATCTTTATCTCATCATGTTTTTTTCCAATCTATAATGGATAATGATGTATTTCTATCTATTTTAGTGAGATATATTTCGAGGACTCTGCATTGTCTAAAGATGTCCCAATTCGCGAAGTAAAAGCAGAACATATTGGGCACTTGGTGACAGTAAGAGGAGTGGTCATAAGAAGCACTGAAGTCAAACCTATGATGTGTGTCGCAACTTATACTTGTGACAGGTATTGTGCTTCATTATTTAGGATCAGCAAAATATATAGATCTTAAGAGCAGCAAACCTACAGGTTGTCTTTAGATGTTTTTTTCCTTCTATTTTTATTCTTTAACAAAAATCTACAGACTGAACCATAAGTTTTAAGGCTGAGTTAACTGATGTTATTGACTTTTGTAGGTGTGGTGCTGAAACATACCAACCGATTAATGCCTTGTCATTCATGCCTCAACAAGTTTGTCAAAGTGAAGATTGCAGATTAAATAAGGCAGGAGGCAGACTGTATTTACAAACTAGGGGCAGCAAGTTTGTTAAATTCCAAGAGATCAGGCTACAGGAAATGGTAGGTTAACTAGTCTGATTCTATTATTTTAGTTCCTTTTTCGTTTTTTCTTTTGTTGTATTTACATTAACCTTTTTATTTTTTGGTCTTGAGGAGGTAAGTTGAATTTTTCTATAGAGAGTCCACAATGGTAAATGTCATATTAAGTATTTTCAGGAACTTGATTATGCAATTTAACAAAAATTTTGTTTGGAGATTTTACTATACCAAGGATGAAAAAGCTTTGTAGTTTTTGAAAATCGGTAGCATAGTATATACAGGGTGTTCAATATAAGGATCCTATGCATGGGGTTCTCAATACCTCTGGGAGCTACAGTATAGGTTAAATTAGGAAAAAGCTGCGTTTTTTTTGAGCGTATTTACATGCCGTCAAGAAGCTTGTAAAAATTTCACATTTGGCCAAATCGTTTTTATTTTTTTTCTGATTTTATTATGAGTATCAAAAAACTGATGGCCCTGACATTTCGTTATCGAGAAACCATCAACTTTTTTTATATGGTATGAAAAAAGTAAACCCTGATAGCATCTACGAAGTCAACAATGTATCATGTTACATTTGTTTTCTTAGTTATAAAGAAACATTTTTTTATTTTTTTTTATTTTAAGTAGCCATTGCAAACAAATGCTTGATGTAAGATTACGCAATTACTGATAGGTGCATGTTACATATTACATAATGATATGATAGGGTAAAATGATGCTTAATCTAGTGATAGTCAGAATAATGAATGCATTTTTAACATGATTTTATATTATTCACAATAGGTTGCCATTATTTTCTAAACATAAATATGAGCTTCTAACAGTAGAATTCAAAACATCACATAATATTTCTGGTGTAAACATACTAAATGCTTCTGCCATTTTTATCAGACTTTCGATTAAAGATTTTTAAGCTTCGATGTTTATCTTATTCTTGAATCAATAACACTATGTTTTTGTCATCAGAGTGACCAAGTTCCTGTAGGCCATATTCCACGTACCTTAACAGTTTACTGTAGAGGGGAGGTAACCAGAAAAGCTTTACCAGGTGACCACGTGGCTGTTACAGGAATCTTTTTGCCCCTAATCAAGCAGGGATTCAAGCAGTTAACTGGAGGTTTGCTCTCCGACACTTTTCTGGAAGCCCATGTAAGTATAATTTGCAGCCATATAGAGCCACATATAAAATAGAATAAGCGTACTGAATTACTTGTTTGGAAAATACTACATTATTCATATGGCATTTATGCTTTGTTAAAACAAACGCGTCTGTTTGATTCCGTCATTCTCGCACTAGTATTGGCTTACGGTAGGTTTATTAAGCATTAATGCTACTATGTAATTTTGCATAATTATCCTTTACACATTTTTTGAACCAACTTTCTATAATTGTATATATTTTTTTCTATTAAAATTATTTTACTTTGAGTATTCATAAAGCTATAGTCTAATGCCATCTTCATTTTTATTTTCAATCACTATTTAATGTCACTATTTAATTTACTAAATTAAAATACTCCTTTTTGAAATACAGATTTGTTTGTTATGCTACCATTACAATTTTTCGGATAAAAATCTAAACTGCCTCTAGTTTCATAATTATGATGATCACTAACTAATTTTATGAAGTTTTCAAAGGTGATTCATGATTTTTTAATTTGACTATGAACTAAATAACATAAAATTTTTACATTCGGCATATACTTCATCTTAGCATATTTATTTTTATTCAATATGTTTCTCACAACTTTATTTTGTAGAATCTGTAATTATCAAAATATGTTTCCGTTTGATGCGAACAAAGTAGTTGAACAATATATAAAAAATTGGAAAGAATTATGGTGTTATATACAATTTTTAGATACATACTCTGATTATTGGAAACTCTATATAAGTAATTTATCTTTTTTGAAATAATGTATTCATAATACTCTTGAAACAGTAGTTTACTAGCCACATACATATACAGATATTTTAGTGATTCAACTAATTCAATTTTTTCACCATTAATCATGTATTGCCACCTAAATGTTTCCCTATTGACATACATTTTGTTTCATTGTTTAATTTGAGTTTATTAACATTTAAACGATTCATATTTTTTTCTCGTACTCATTACCACGTCAGTGGTATTTGGATCTCTCTGTATATCAGTGCATCGTCCGCAAATATTTTAATTTTGAAGCGTTCTAAGAAGTCAGAGATATCATTTTTATATATAATGAATAGAAACTGGCCTAATTTACAACCCTGAGGATATAGCCCAGTACCTACATTATTGCGGAAACTAACGATAAATTTTTTAATTTCAAAATTTAATCACGCTTCTTCTTGGTCATGTCTAACTGTATACAAAATTTAATCCGCATAAAATCGTTTTTACTGGGTGTTTTATTTTCTTTGTCACTGAGTATTTTTTTATGTCAACCTATGTGTCCTGTACGCGGTTTGTCCGGAAAATACGTATAAAAGTGGAACAATAACTTTTAACTACAATTGTTCAGGTAAATTCAATATAGTCTCCTTCAAAGTAACCCTCCTGAGACAAGATGCACTTTTGCCAACGTCGTTTCCACTGTTGATACGATCGCTGAAAGTCTTCAGTTGTGAGACTCTTCATTTGCCGTGTTGTTTCTGCCTTCATGGCTTCCACATCCCCAAAGTGGCGCCCCCGAAGCATTTTGGGAACAGGAGGAAGTCGCAAGGGGCTAAATCGGGTGAATAAGGCGGGTGCTCTGTCTTGTTGATTAAACTTCGGGCCAAAAACTCACGCACAACGACAGACGTGTGAGCAAACGCGTTGTCGTGATGAAGGATCCACCTGCCCCCTTGTGCCAAATCCTGACGAACTCGGGCCATACGAGTACTGAAACGACGCAAAACTTCACTGACTGGGAGGAACAAATTCTTGGTGAACAATGCCCCGAGAATCAAAGAAAACAATCTACATTGTTTTCACGTTGAATCTCGATTTTTTCGAGTTTTTTGTTCTCGGTTCCCCTGCTTGCTTTTATTCCATGCTTTGAGATTTCAGCTCCACATCGAAACCGTAGAACCAAGATTCGTCTCCAGTGACGACCCTGTTGAGAAAGTCTCCCTCTGCATCCAACCAATACTCACACCAAGCAACCCTCCTTGCTAGCTGTTTTGGAGTCAAGAGTTTCGGACCGATTTTCGCGCACAATTTTTTCATTTCAAGTTTTTATGTCAGAATTTCGTGGGCGATTGTTTTGGGGACTGACAGTTCCTCGGCTTTAATTCTAACTTTCAATCGACGATCTTCAAGAACTCAGCCCCGAATTCGTTCAACGTTTCCTCCTTTCTCGGCCTTTTCAACCATTTGTTGACGGTTGGTTCATTCAGATAATTGTCTCCTCAAACTTGTTCCAAACACTGAAAAATTTCACGACCATTCTTGCCCAGCTTTGCAAGAAACTTGATGCTGATGCACTGTTCCTCGATCACAGAGAGCTCCATGCAGCTCCGGCAGGAAAAAAAGGGCAAATTTCATCAAGCACACGTAAATCCTACTTACTCGCAGAGCGCTCCGGCTCGAACTGAACATAGAGGAGATTGCATAGAGAGAAGGAACCTCCGGGCCACACCTCCACCAGGCCTTGAGACGCCCAGAATTTTTTATACGTATTTTCCGGACAAACCTCGTATGCTTGAGGAACGACGTCACTCAAAACCGGGTATTTACATATTTGACCTTCACTTTTTCTTCCAGAAAATCAAATCTCTAAACACAGGCGAAGAAGATGAGTCCGGTTTATCACGGGAAGAACTTGCAGCTTTGTCTGCAGACGACTTCTACGCCAAACTGGCTTCATCGATTGCCCCGGAGATCTACGGACATGTGGACGTCAAGAAAGCTTTGTTGTTGTTGCTCGTAGGGGGCGTTGATAAGCGGCCTGATAACAATGGAGGAATGAAGATCAGAGGAAATATCAACGTTTGCTTGATGGGAGATCCTGGAGTGGCCAAGTCCCAGTTGTTGGGGTACATATGCAGACTGGCGCCAAGAAGTGAGTGTAAATGTTCATTCAAAGGAAAATGGCTTGCTTTATTTCCAATGATGCGTATGATATCAGATTTGGCATTCCAGTATTCCGTTTTTGTGCAACTATCGACATAAATGTCAATATCACAACCATCGTTTTGGTCTCAGGTCAGTATACGACAGGCAGAGGTTCATCAGGCGTTGGCCTGACGGCTTCCGTGACCAAAGATACGATTACTGGAGAGATGACCTTGGAAGGGGGCGCGTTGGTATTGGCCGACCAAGGAGTCTGTTGCATCGACGAGTTCGACAAAATGGCTGACGAAGACAGAACAGCGATTCATGAAGTTATGGAACAGCAGACCATCAGTATTGCCAAGGTAATCTACGTAATTTTGGAACTGGATTTCAAATGGTTTCACTATATTTCATGTCTATTCCGATTTTTTCTGGAAATTGCTTTTTTGGTGTTGAATATTTATTTAGCATTAATGTCAATTTTGTACATTCTTGTCTATTAAAATTAAAATTACGTCACTATAAATTTTGATTATTCATAAAGTGATTTTTTAATTTTACCTTAAACACTTTTAAATTCGAACTCTGTTTAATATCATTATTCAATTTATCAAATTCAAATAGTCCCTTTTGAAATATATATTTACCAGTTATACTATTACAATTTTGCAGATGAAAATCTATACTGCCTCTAGTTTCCTAGTTATGACAATGACTATTTATTTTGTGAAGTTTTGTAAATGTGGCGGTAATAAATGATTTTTTAAAACGAGATCTAAATAATATATGAAATTTTTCACATCCAACCACTGCAGTTCTGAAGGCTGAATAGTTAGGGTAGGTTTCTATACTATAACTATCTAAAACTGTAATGACTCATCGATGTTCACGTGAATATCACTTAACTACCAGTAGTCGGCTGTTCATAGGCGGGGTATGAATGTTTAACATGGGTGAACTAGATTTGTCACATGCTTAATAAAGAGTGGTTTGAAACATATTGTAAGTAAAAAATTTGGGAATTACCTTTATTCATCGTCGCTTCCACTTACATCTGACAGTAATAAACTGTCGCTATCGCTTTCCTCGTTGAAATTGACTATAACTGGCTCTATGATGGTGTCGATGTGGTGGTCAAGCTGCCACATTTTTGTTTCTTCCTTCACAACATGACGGATAGCATTCTGCCAAGCTTCGGGCGTTACTAGCTGTATGGAAGTCTCAAGTAAAACCGTAACGTCTGGTAATTTGAAGGTTGTGTTATGGCGCGCAATATAACCCTTCACTTGAGCCCAGATGAGCTCTATTGGGTTCAGTTCACAGTGGTAGGGCGGTAACCGCAGCACAGTGACACCACATTGACGGGCCATCTCATCAGTCACGTAACTAATGTTCGCAGGTTTGTGCTGTTTAATTTTTTCATCCAATTCCGTCAAATGGGATTCCTTTTTCGCGCAACCATTGCTGCATGTCACTTTTTCGAGATCCCATAGTCGGTACACGTTCGGCTCGACGACTATGGTAGGAAGCATTATCCATGGCGATCACAGAGTTGGACTCAACTCGCTGAAGCACCCCTTGAAACCAGCTCTCGAAGCAGCTGGCATTCATTTCGTCATGGTAATCACCTCCTTTCTTAGCACGTTCACTGCGAAAGACGCTGATCCGCGTCCGACCGATGTTTAACGAAAGGCGGCGGGCGCGGATCCGCGCTTCTGGCTGATATAAACTCACAAGACTGTGGTGTTGTCAGTTTGTACCGCACTCGCTTTCTGTTTGGTCACCTACATATTGAACATCTTTTTGGACTATTTTACGCGTAGGATCAAGTTTCGTTTATTTTTACAATGCGCAATGGCGGATGATGTGGAAGCAGGTTGTTCACGTCCAAAACGAGTGAAAACGTATTGTAACCGTAATAAAGGGCTTACAGAAAAAGAACTGTATGATATTCTTGCCAATTCGGGGAGTGAAATCGAGAATCTAAGTGACTCATACAATTATGTTCCCAGTTCAGATGGAAGTGAGCAGTCTGATGGAAATATGTCTGAAACGAGTGATGATTTTTTCCAGCCCACAGAAAAATCTTTAATAGGGTTTCAAGACATGTTTCGTGTTACTGCACGAAAAAAAAAAAACGAGATAGAAGAAGAAAATGTATATATGAAACAGTTTTCAATTACACAACGCACATCCAATAGGCTTACGACGCGAATCCGCGCTTCGCTTGTGCAGCGCCTAAAATCGTTTAGCCGCTACCGTGCGCGCGGCGCGAGGCAGGTCGCAGCGAACGTGTTAGAGACGAAAATCAAGTCACACTCTTCTAAAAAGCCACTATCGCTACCAATATGAGTTACGATCAATCTTTGACCTTTCCCTGACGGTCCACGAAGACCTGTTGACAAACCTTCAATGCTTGCTTGTCGGTTACTCACTACGTTTTTGTCTAACCAGGTTTTTTTAACTGTGTGACCTGCATTTACCCATGTCTCGTCCAAATAATAGATTTTTCTGCTTTGTCGCCTATATTCAATCATTTCGCGTAGGTATTTTCGACGCCAGGCGACTATTTCAGGTCTCTCTATCAATACTGACTTCCGATTACGCGTTTCGTAATGAAAATTAATTTCGTGCAGGGATTTCCTCATTACCTCGACGCTCATTTGGGGTATAATTTCATTTTCCTTGGTCGCTGCATGTACAGCCTTGAGGGTTGGTATCTCATTCCTAAAGAAGAATGAATGTACGGTTCGCCTTAACGCCATTTTGCTATCGTCATCCAATTTAACGGCCTTTCGTTCCTTCAAATTAAACTTTGGATCAGTAGTAGCTCCAGTTTTCTTCTTTTCATGCACCACCCTGCGAATGGTCCACTCTGGAACGCTTGTCATACTTTCACAACGCGCGAGTGCATCTCCCTGCGACATAGTTCTGTTCAGATAATTGAACACGTTTCAGATAATTGAACACGTTGAGCACGATTTCTTTCGCGTCCCTCTTCAGTGCTTTACGAAGCCGTCTACTTGTTCCCTGGCTTTCAGTACTTCCACTCGTGCCATTTGTACTCTCCATGGTTAAGTATAATCAAAACAGTAACCACAGAAACCACAACAATAACAATCACACAACAATTCTTATAAAAACACACAATACGCGATGGCTCAACGAAACACGTTCCAATGCGTTGCCGACGCCTATGAGTCTGCCCGTCGAGGCGCGTCTTTGATTTCATTGGTTCTACCGACGGAGAACAATCAGCCATTATTTCCATCTCTGTCTGTGCTGTTGACCACCGCAAAGCCACAGAAACGACATATGTCGTACGCTATACGGCTGTACTGGAAGGAAGCCGGGATCGAGCTCTGATCACGTGTTGATCACGCGTATGAGTCATTACAGTTTTAAATAGTTGTAGTATAGCCATCAGTATTTTTAGATCTATTGATTTAAATTCTTATACAGTTGAATAATGAGCTAATTTAATTAAAATATTTAGCAGACAGATCATATGACGTAATAAAATGTATGAATAATAAATGTCTTCATATACGACCATAATTCAAGCACCCATATTTTATCTGATCATCTCTGCATGTATTTGAGACAATATTTGTTTTGCTTGCATTTTCGCTCGCTGTGAAAAAGGTATTTTCTCTCACTTATTAAACCTTGACCACATCATTATGTACCATATTATATTTCTTTTATTCCATTTAAGTTTATTAAATCATTGATATAGACTAAAAATAAGATCGGATCCAACATTGATCCTTGAGGTACTCCTGCGTTTATATTTAATTTGTTTGAAATATAATGTCTTGATAATTTCACGATATGCGATCATTATTTAAATATAGGCGGATGCAGTTGTAAAATACATATAAAAGGGTACTATAAACGTTTTGCAATACAGCTTTATTTATGGACTTCGCTCAAAGTAATTTCCACCACGTTCAATGCACTTCTCCATCCGCCAAAACCAGTTCTGCCAAGTTTCACCCGGGAGTGTGGCACACTCGTTGACCCAAGCCCTCAACAGGTACTCATCGATAGAAATCCGTTTTTTCCTTTTAGCTTCATTTTCACATGCGGCAACAGTGCAAAGTCGCAGGGAGCAAGATCTGGACTGCAAGGAGGGTGCTCAATAAGTTTCAGTCCAGTAGAGTTCAAATACTTGGTGCAGGCCTTGGCGTGGTGAGCTGGAGCGTTGTCATGGTGGAGATACCAAGTGTCCATTCTTGACTTTGCGCGCAGGTTTTTCATAGACTCGATGACTTTAGGCAGGCACTGTTCCGTGTACCACTTGGCTGTGACTGTCTTCTGTGTGTCGAAAACACACGCTCCACAAAAATACAGTTATCATTTTTTCTTAACAGACCGGGATTTTCTGACATCTACGGGTGTGTCATTATCATCAAAGACTCAAACTTTGTTTTGAGACTTGGTCTGCACATCGTAATAATAGAGCCGGAATATAGTCGTACGATGAGGACATTCATTCTTTAATGCTAGCGTCATTTCTTTTAAGCACTGGTCTATGCTTAAACCACGCGTAAAGTTATACCGTAAAACTGCTATTATCCCACTAGGTGACAACGATGCCATAGTCCGTACTTTACTCTGTCAATACGAATGAACAATTAAACAACAAAACTTGTAGTTACTTCCAAGGAGAGCAAAAGAAATAGTATATCATGATTCACAATGTCAAAAACTTTGGAAAAGTCTCAAAACAGAGCTGTTGAAATTTGTTTATCGCTCAAATTTTAGTTTAACTGCTCATGGTCACAGAGATGGAAATCAATATTCAGTTCAACTCATTGAGCGTTCGGGCTAAGTTCTGTTGCATTTTGTACGAGCTGTGATAAACCTATATCCATCTCTTTAGGCTGGAATAATGACCTGCCTGAACGCCCGTGCCTCAATCCTAGCAGCAGCAAACCCAGCGTACGGTCGATACAATCCTCGTCGTACCATCGAACAAAACATCCAACTTCCCGCAGCGCTACTTTCCCGTTTCGACCTGCTGTGGCTTATACAGGACAAGCCGGACAGGGACAACGACCTGAGATTGGCCAAACACGTGGCTTACGTCCACCAGCACGGCAAGCAACCCAAACAGGAGACTGACGCGTTGGACATGAGAGTGATGAGGAGGTACATAGCGTTGTGCAAGAGGAAACAGCCGACGATCCCTGTCGATTTGACGGATTATATTGTCTGTGAGTATGCAGCATTATTCAAAAATGTTGTTTAAAATTTAAAAATAAATAATTTAGAAATCTACTCCGATAAGAGAGTGTTCTGCTATTGTCCCATAGATGGCGTTATGATCGTCAATTCCTTTATGGCGCCTCTCTAATGCCTATTTTATCTTCAGGACTTGATTAACGACTGCCACGTGAAAAAATCCAATTAAACTAAGCATTAGAGATATCAAAACGGGATTGAAGATCCTAGCGCCATCTATGAGACTGTGGTAGAATCAAACATTATCTTTTCCGAACAAATATCTCTAAATTCATCTTTGTGTCCTGCTACTGTCTGATAGACGGCGCTGTGAGATCAATTTTTGGTTGCTATATGGTTGACAATCGTTAGATACCAATGATATCACTTAGTGTGTGCTGAATGAGACGTTGTTAGTTTGATGCTCAGGTTGAATCGACGGGGAATTCAAAAATTCGACTTCGTGACGCTTCAGATTTTTTCAAGGTCATATACGAATTAAGCTTCCCAACCTACCTTGGTATCCTGAGTTTCGTGCTCTTTTAGTCACTGCGAACGAACATTCCCGTATGCTCATTATAAAAAGTACCATGATAAACATTTCAGTAATGCTTGAACATTTGAAAGATCGTTGACTGGATAAACAGGGCACATAGGTTCTGAATTAGATGTCAATTCTCCGACAGAGGGTTAAAGAAAGTGACACATTTTTTGAACAGTTTTTCCAGCTAATTTAACTTATAAAGGGTTTTCCATTAAGGACTTGACAACTTTCTTTTTAAATAAAACGCATACCATTTGAGATATTTCGAAAATTTTATTATAGGATTGAAGTATACTCAAAACATTTATGTACGGAATTCGACCTCGTTCATATGTCGACCACGGGCACGTTCTCAGCGATCGATTCGCTGAACTCAATTTTCAATGACTCGGCCACACATTTCGACATAAACTGCCGCTAACTCTCGTTCAGTATTGGCTCTGGACTCAAAGTTTTTTTTAGACTATGAGTTGCTTGTCTACTGGGACTCGGAATTTTGGTAATAAATTTTAATTATTTGTAAGCGTTGTTCGTTCGTGTACTTCACCGAGATGAAAATGTTTTCTTTACTGAAAGTTTTAACATTGACAGTTCGGTAATTGATTTAAAGGTGCGTTCACAGTGAAAGTTCAAAGTTGTCAAGTCCCTATTGGAGAACCCGATATTTATCATTTTCCTTCCGTTACGAAGCATACCCCATTACACATTTTTTCTCTAACAGCCGCGTACGTGGAACTCCGCCGTGAGGCTCGCAACTCTGACGACACGACCTTCACCTCGGCTCGTAACTTGCTCGGTATTCTTCGGTTATCTACGGCCCTTGCGAGACTGCGATTGGCTGATGGCGTGGAGAAAGATGACGTCAACGAAGCCATAAGACTGATGGAAGCCAGCAAGCAGTCTCTGCACCAAACTGTCGAGAAGAGGGGATACAGGTTAGTTGAACTAAATATGTTTAACGGTGATGGTCCCGATACTGATCCTTGCGGAACTCAGAATCAATTTGTTTTGAGTTGCGTATTTTTTATGAATAAAAATGTTTGGTAGTATCGGATTTAAGGTAACGTTAAGTCTATGATTTGGGCAGGTGTCTGGTTGTTGCAAGTTTTCTTTAACAAAGAGTGGTTGTATTATTTTTTATTTTTATCTTTGTCTTTATTAGGCCTCCTAATGTGAACGACAAGATCTTCGCAATAATCCGTGAACTTGCCGACAGCAACAGGGTGGTCAGAATCTCTGACGCTTTAGAGAAATGCGCCACCAAAGGCTACAATCCTGATCAGGTGGACGCATGCATTGAAGAGTATGAAGAACTGAACGTGTGGCAGGTTAATCAAACTAGAACCAAACTGACATTTGTAGCTTAAAGATTGTATACGTCAGCTCGGTCACCTTTGTTTTATGTCACGTGTTTTATATAATAGGTATATTAGCTATTTTTGTATTGTGTGTGTTTTTAGTACAATTCAGAATCTAGAAATTTGTCTATGTACCTCTTAAGATTTATTTTAAATTGTTTTAAGGTGTTATGTATTGGGAAAGTATTTGCCATTGAACATCACTAATAATATTTTTTATGTTTTATCCTTTTATTTACCAGTCACATCTGGAAACCAATACTTTTTTCCAACGAATAATAAAATATAAAATGACAAGCATGTGTTTGATTTCTTCATTTACAGAACACTACACCTTCATCCATTGCATCTTTTGTAAAAAAAAAACAAAAAATAGTCTAAGAACTATGCCAAAATGTTTGGGGGATGCAAGTGGACAAATTTGCTGAAAACGTGTGGAAAGGGTTGCTCTACGAGAATATGGGTCGTACCAGGAAAAAATTGCGACAAATACAATTAAAAATTATTTTTCATTTTTTTCATCGAGTTATTTTATCGCTAAGGAAATCAACTTTTGCTTTTGTTTAACCTTGAAATACTGACATTGAATTTTCGAACACAAAAATAGCTCAAATAATTTTCAAGTTATTCTAAAAAAACACTAAAAAATCTGACAATTTACTACTTGATCACCTATATTCGCACGACACTTCTCTGTGACGAATATGTGATATTGCCGTTTTTTGGAAAAAAACGTTTTGTATAAAAATCCGTTCTACAGGTTGAGGTAGCATAGGTTTCTAGCCGCCATCTTCAAACCTTCAACTGCCTTATTTACGCTAAAACATACCAGTTTAATGAAACCCAGAATTTGAGCTTTCTGGCTCAAGCTTTAAAAACAGGTACATCTACAGAATACTGCGCACACCTTCATCTATTGCACCTTCCACGAAATTGAGCACCACCACTCATAAAAAAGCAAGCAGTAGTCCAAGAAATACATATATAGCAAAATTTTAGGGGAAAATGCAAGTGAACAAATTATTTGTTGAAACGATAATATAGATCATGCCAGGAAAAAATATTCTGCTTCAATTTCTTATTGGCAAAAATATGGTTAATATTATTTTTTATTTTTTTTATCGAGTCATTTAATTGCTAGGGGAATCAACTTTTGCCTTTATTTAACCCAAAAATACTGACTGATGCTTTAAAAGGCAGCAGCGGTGGCCGCAGTAGTAGACTCTTCGGTCTCCTGATCAGTCGCTGTGCGGGTTCGAGTCCCGTCCCAGGAGAAATTTTTCTCTTGGCTATGGATGTTGTGATTGTCCGTAGGTGGTAGACGGTCTCTAACTGTCGAACGCGGAGGTACCACCCGGCGGATCTTGTAGACGGAGCCAGAATGTGTGCATGTTGCATGCACATGTGTTCCCTCGCCAGAGTCCGTGTGGCGTTCCCCCTTTCCCATGTATCCCCCTATAGCCCCACGGTACCCAATGGGTGCTTAGGCCTTAGGCCTTCGTGGTAGTTGGAGTATAAAAAAAAAACAGGTTTTAATGTTCGAAACACATACACAAATTCTCAGACATATCTTTATTTAATCGCAACGCAAGAAAAAAGATAAGGACGACACAGTGTTTTTAAATCTGTAGCTGAGATTAATGTTTTGGACCTATAACCCTCGCAACCCCCCCTTCTTTCATATACGCCACTACTGCGGGGCTTAGGCCTGTATCGTAAGTCGACCCTACAATTGTAGGGCGCGTTTATGGCATCCTTGATTGTCATACTCTTTTCTCTCCTTCCAAAATTTCTAGATTACACTCGTCCCGTGTCAGCGACAGCGCTCTCCTATTGTTAAGATATGTTTTCCTTTTAAATTGCAGGAAATTTCAGGCTGATAAAACATGATATAACTCAAAAGCAAGCACAATTTGATGCAAATAGGTGTTTGTGACATAACCTCAAAATAGAGCGTTGACACGGAGAAGTATAAAACTATGACAATCAAGGAGGCCATAAACGCGCCCTACAATTGTAGGGAGGACTGACGATACGGGCCTTAGACTTTGGAATTTTCCCCATCAGTGTTGAACACTCTGTAATTGAAGTATAATCCTACCTGCTTCCATTGTCAATCCTGACATTTTCAAAGAATATATTGGTGTCAAGTCGCGCACTGATATTTTTCTGGGAAAAATGAACGACCCGAAATTTGGGAAGCCGGATGAAAAGAGGAGGTCTACCGTCGTCAGTAATAAAAGTGACAAGAGTAAGAGGGAACTTCCAACCAGGTACGAAAACATTCGTCAGATTATCAATTAATAGCAGAGTAGATTGTAATGATTTCTGATGGTGATTTTTTAGAATTTACAAAACCTTTACTGGACTCTAGTATTGCGAAATCTCTTACGTTTTTAGGGGTACTAACGAGCTACATATCGGAAACAAATGCATGCACTTAGCAGGCTTTAGGAAATGCATAGTATGCAGTGATTACTTAAGCTTGTATTAAACGCGGCAAATTAACCGAGGTCCTTTTTTATCACAAAAGTGACGAAAGCAGGAGCTATAAAGTGAACGCAGATCTCTATTCGCAACTAAGGAGTTCTAATTGAACACCATTTATGAAAAATTAATATTATCATTCGATTTACTCGTGAAAAAGATCATTTAGTTGACCCCAAGACTGTATTTTTCAAGAAAGTATATAGATATTGTTGTATCTTGCTGAAAAATCATCTGAATCGTGAGACGTGCACCCACCCCTAGACGCATCCAACTACCCGTTCGTCAATTATAACAAGTGCATTTGCTCTCGCCTATCCATGTTCAAATTTGTGATGACTTGCTGCGGTTTGCCGAGCGTTTGGGTGTCTCTTGACAGTTGATCACAAGTTATGGAAGAATTTCACCAAGCCCTGATACCTCAAGAGTTCAATAACGACGCATATCCGCTAGATGATCACAATATCTAATGGTGTGGTAAATTCCGGCGAACACAGAAGCATAACGATGAATGCCAATCCATGCCGTCGCCTCTCTCCGCGTCTTGATATTTCACAACATGCCTTCCGATACAACGTAGGATTTTTATCGCAGAGTATGCTGAAGAATACCGTGACGGCATGTACTGGCATCCTCCGGTATACCTGGAATATTCATAGTGTGCCCGAATCTGCCAGGATAATGTGGTAAGCGGGCGGGTGCTTTGGGAGCATATAGGAGCATACCGACAGACCTCAAAGCATGCCGTCGCCTTCAGTCACGGTATATCTCAGCATGCGTTTCGATGTTAAACGTATTAGCCTTTTTGAAGAGCCTGCAGAGAAATACCGCAAATAAAATCGGTAGCCGGTATGTTAAAGTAAGTTTCTGTCAGAATACCGTCGCATCTGTCAGTTTAACACAGTACCCTTAGTCTGGTAGATAACGGCACTTACAGGAACATACCGTCAGAAGTCAACATTGCGGACGCATTCCATTGTCTCCCACCGCGGTATGTCTCTCGCTGCCACATATTGGATTTTTCTCGGGGTATTATATTGCGACGGCATGCATTAGCATTTTACGGGAGCTGTTATATTCTCTGATGCGTTAGGCAATATATGGTAATGTTGTGGTAAGCTCTCGGATGCGACGTCATGCCGACCCGCGCTCACGGTATCATTACGCATTTTTATCATCAGCGCGCAGTGGCGGGCGTTCATGTTCTTTATAAAAATAAATAATCATTTCAATATCCCAGAGGGTACTATGCAGAGATACTAACGGATGACGATTATGTCGATCCTCTAAAAAAAGAATATACCGGTGCCCATAAGAAAACAAAACTGATATGGCAGATAAAGACGGAAAAGCATACACCAATCGTGAGACAGATGGTTACGCCTGCCAAAAAGGCATTCTTGGCCCCAGCAGAAAGGTGGATGACGTTCGATGAAGACAAACACATAGTAAGTAGAGCAAAGTTACAGTGTAAGTCAAAAAGCCTAGGTGCTTCATCTTAAACTAAACACTTCTGTTTTTCTTTGCTCTTCTCCTTTGTTTTTCTCTTTCCCTTTCTCTTTTTCCCTGACATTGTCTGGCTTCTGGGCAACCAAGACTTACAGATTCAACTAACGTACATTAGACAGTGACTAATGGGCAAAGGTCCAATGGACCGCCCAGACAAACAAAGATGAATAGTACAATGTTGGGGGATTGAGTAGAAAAATCATGGACACATCTATTTTAGAGTTTCCCTGTGGATACGTTCAAGCCAAAAGTACAACTTCAACATGAAGTAGAGCCCAAGACGTTGCCTCGAAACGTTGCTATTGAACAACTACGGAGAGAGTACCAGGTAAACACAATTATTATACAACCTTATGCTCCTCGGCAATGAAATAAATTTGGAACAGACTCAGATTCCATCAAGAATTGCTAACAAAACTGTCAAAAATAAGTATATCAGCAACCTCATAGATAGGAATTATCTTCTACCATTTTGTGATCGTATCACTATTTTCTCCATTCTGTCAGGCCCAAAGTCTCAAAAAGTTGCTGAAGATAATGAATGTCACAGCTAAGGATTTGATGCCGGTAGATATTTTAAGTGCACATCCTGAAGAGGCTGGACCTACAAACCTTTCAAGGTGGACTAGCTTTTTGCCTTTGGAACTCTTTGATGATGAAGATTACGACGTAAGGTAAGGGCTGGATTGGATTTTATTATTAGAGCTCGGTATTTTTTTCGACGAAGATATAGGCGAAATGCAGCTTATGCTGATCAACCTATACAGTATTATTATTATCATATTAAATATTCGTAACCAGATGGATTGTACAAGTCACTCAAACATAAAAAATATATACCTTGACAATCTTGTGATTTTTTTGTGCAACAAGCATTTTTTTAAATCTGATCCTGATACAATTTTTCTTTGAGTATCGAACTAATATTGTCACTACTCGTTTCAAATTCCCAGGGAAGATTTTCGGAAGTAACAATGCTCCTCAGATCAAGTCTCTTTTAGAAATTTCAATTGATCTTTGTAGGTGCGCGTGAGGTAAGACTTTGGCCGACCCAGCATCTTTAGTAAAGTTTATTAGCGTGATTGTAAAATGTAACTTTTCAGATATTAATAGGCGAATCCTAATAAGAACTGAAAATTACTCAATGAGGTACAGTAATACATTCTTACCTCAGGACTCCAGAAAACTGGCTCCAGCACGGCGTTATAGAAGGTGTGAGGTATCCACTTCCAGGAGAAGCATATCTGGAAATAGCTGATGAACATCGCGGAGAATTTTGCCATCTTTTCGACACCTATGGATGGATGAATGTTGCTGTGACAGATTATAATTTCGAAACTAAGAAATGGGCTGTACTTACGTTAGATGGACTTCAACGAACTTTTGAGGTACATGTTACAGTAAGGGGTTAACAGACACGCCATTGCGAACCATGTAGATCTTTGTGCCGCCCAGATACTCTGTGTAAAGCACTGTGTCCAGCCTTGATCCTTTAATCAGATTCTTAACCTTGACACAGAGTCTGTCTAGTATGTGGCTTTTCGCTGTTAGATTAATAATAATGATAATAATAAACGTCTTTTACTGAGGGCAAACTTTAGCTTGAAGCTATTCTGCCAGTTAAATCTGGGAAATACGTCCGTCGGCGATCTAGCTCTTTTCTACCGCTACACCAACGGGCTTTGCTACTCAGAGCTCTCTTCCATGATGCCGCCGCGCGATGTGCCTGCCAGGTAGACCCGCCTGTCCCGAGGGTGTCAAGATTGTGGAACGGTCTACAAGAGGAGGCTTTTCCCAGTTCTACTAACCTTAGGCAGTTCAAAAATCGTATTAACAAAATTTCTTTGGGATCATCATAGCAGCCGCGGTGAACCGGTATTTAGGCTTCTGCCTGCGCGGCTGCTTCGATATAAAAAAATATATAGCTCTCTCACCATCAACCATCCCAAGTCTCTTAAAGAAAAGTTTAAATGGTCATATTTTCTTATAAGAATTTTGAATTTTATATAAACGTGAAAGAGATATTGTATCTAAAAATGGAGTGTAAACTGTATTACAGTAAGTAATTTAGAACATAATTAATGATTCGCATGAGATTAATTTCGTTTGATAATCGAGAATTTGTTTATTCAGATATAACTGACGTAACTTTGTTTACCTGGGGTATGAACCTGAGACGCGCATCAAAAAGAATTCTCAAGTTTTTGACTTTTTCATTAGTTTCGATAGTAGCACCAGCTAAGAATAAAGCTGTTTTTAACATGATTCCTAAAATGTTTATGTGAGAAAATAATAACTTTTGACTGTGCAGGGTTTAGTTTGAGGTCGTGATGCGAACTGGGGCTTCCTTGAAGATCCACTATTGCCCTTATGGCTTTATTCGCAGCATATCAAATTCTTTGATGAACTATTTTTCCTGATCTAACCTTTAATATTGCCCTTGTCTGAGCGGATGCATTCAGGAAATTACACTTTTAGCGCTGTATGTTGAATATATAAATTGTTTTTTGGATTTTATAGGTGCCTCGTCTATACGTAATGTTTAAAGCAGAAGATCCCAGGAATTTTGCAAAGAGAGTAGAAGCTGCCATTAAATCACGATATGACACCGAAAACCTTATAAGGTGAACTTTTCTATTTATACGTTCTTACAGTTTCATCCTGAATAATATAAAGAAAATAATAATTTAATCAAATAGGTATCGAATATGCAACCTAATTTTTTATAGGTTCGAATTTTTCTTCGATTGCATGCCTTTGGAAGGGACACCTCCCATGAATGACTTCTTGATGAATAGGATTACCGAACTTATATCCAACAGTCTGGGGAAAAAGTGGATATTCGGTGAACATTTTCAAAAGGTAGCAAAAGCCATGAATTGTACGTACATTCAAAAAGAAAAAAAAAATAATAACAGTAAAGGCGTTGCTACAATCATACGCGAAGTTTTAAAGAAACAGTCGAAAAACACTTTCAACTTTTTTAAAATCTTTTATACGTCACTGTTACCTATACAGATCTATTCAGAGTTATTCAAACTCTAGAAACAGTCAAATATATTGAGAAGGGGTGGGCCGATATACACCACATTTTGAACAGGGGAATAATGATCATTCCCGATCGCCAGATCATATAAACTACGTTGTGGTGGAAGGACTTGGCGAGAGAAACGCAATAAGCAAAGAGACTTCATTTCTAATCCAATATGGCGCCCGCAGCAAAATGGCGATTTAAAATTTTCATAGGGTATCAAACGAAAGGACTTGGTGAGAGGAACACAATGAGCAAACTGACGTCATTCTGAATTGAATATGGCGCCTGCTGCAAATTTGCGATTTACGTTTTTCATAGTCACCCCTATGATATGGGTATCAAACGAATGTGCTTGATGGGACAAACAAAATAAGCAAAGAGAGATTATTTTAAATCCAAGATATAGATTATATACAGTCACGTTTATGATATTGGGATCACATTGAAGGACTTGATGAGATGAAAATAACAAGCAACGTGACGTCATTTTGAATTCAATATGATGACCGCCGCAAAATGGCGATTTATAACTTCCATAGTCACGCCTATACTAAGGGCTTGATTAGGGAACATGATAAGTAGAATAGATCGAGTTCTACAATCTGTATGTTATACTAAGGGGTGCTTGAGCAATATTTGTGTTTGTTTGTTTCAGATTTATTTAGCATTAATGCTATAATGTCCATAATATCCATATTACACAGTATATCACAAAATATACTATGTCTTCAAGACTACATATTTTTACACAGAATTTCACTACTATGAATCTGGTTTTCCATGAGATATTTTTTCAATTTCCCTTTAAACATTTTCAAACTGACACGCATTTTGATATCATTACTTAATTTATTAAATTCGTACAATCTCTTTTGAAATACTGACTTTCTCGTTATATTGCTACTGCAGTTTTGTAAATGAACGTCTATACTATAGAATAATTGTGGCACTCATTGTTCAATACAATGAAATTTTCTAAGTGATTTGATAGAAGGTGATTTTTTAACTTGGATATGAAAATGAAAACCAAGTAGGCTATGAAATTTTTGATATTTAACCATTGTAGTTTTTTCAGCATAAAATATATTCTTGTATATTTATTTTTATTTAAGATGATTCTCATAGCTTTATTTGGTAATATTTGTAATTTTGAAAATACAGTTTTATTTGCAGTGAACAAAATAGTGGAACAATATATACTAAGTGACATATAAATCCGAACACCCAGTTTAAATGGTTTTATTTTAATAAAATTTTGTATAAGTACTTAATGAAGCATAATAAGTAAATGACAAAAATTTCAAAATGATTGCACTGCTTTAAAGCCCTTTGACCTTTAATAATGTGTGAATGCACCCTGATGTGCTACGCATTCTCCAACGCGCCTAGGCATGCTTCTGATCAGGTGGTCAATGTCCTCCTGTGGTATCTCATTCCAGGCAACCACCAACTCCTCTCGAAGTGCTTCTAGAGTCTGAGGAGGACGTTGCAAATTGAGCAATCTCCTACCCATCATATCCCACACGTGCTCAATTGGGGATAAGTCGGGAGATCTTGGTGGCCATGGTAACAATGTGACATCATTATGTTGAAAGAAGTCTATTGTGACTCTTGCAACATGTGGTCGGGCATTATCTTGTTGGAAAGTTGGATCTGCCAGGGTGTCAAGATAGGGTAAAAGATGGGGTTCTAGAACTTCGTGGATATAACGCTGCGCATTCATGTTACCTCTGATGAAGATGAAAGGTGACCTGGAACCATAAGCTATAGCACCCCAAACCATAACTCCAACAGTGTGATGAACATGTCTTTCAACAAAAAACTGTGGATTCCTCCTTTCACCACGTCGCCTTCTAACACTGGCACGACCATCGTGCATGCCTAAACAAAATCGAGACTCGTCACTAAAGACAATACTGTTCCATTCCTGATCCCAGAGTGACCGTTGTCTGCACCACTCAAGGCGATTACGTCGGTGTTCTCGAGTTAACGGGAGGACCCAGTGAGGCCGGTATGAAAACAAGCCAAAACTTCTCATTTATCGGTAAACACTTCGCATGCCAATAGGTCTTCCGTGTTCTGCAAACCATTCATTTGCAATGGACCTGGTAGTGGAGAAACGGTCCCTTAAGGCCAATAATCTTAGGCGGCGATCTTCATGGTCTGTTGTTCTACGGCGCCGTCCAGTGCCCCTTGCTCTTTGCGTACGGCCTTCTCGAAGTCATGCCTGACAACACCTAACCACAGTGTCTACACTTCTTTGCACTCTAACTGCAATTGCCCGAAAAGAAAGTCCAGCTTCCCGAAGTCCCACTATACGGCCCCTATCAAACTCACTAAGTTGACGAAATCGTACAGGTCTCCGTACTCTAGGCATCGTAACCGATCGTAAAGGATGTCAAGAACCAAAATCCGCCAACGTTGATTCTTTACTGCGGCTGAAATATTCATTTTTAGAGCATTAGTGAATTAAAAGAAAGCAGTATAAAAACCGGAATGTCCAACTGATAAGGCTGAAAATTTGTTCACTTGTTATTTACAGTAAGATAAATACATTCACCAACTTTTATTAAAATAAAACCATTTAAACTGGGTGTTCGGATTTGTATGTCACTTAGTATATTAACAAATGAGGAAGAATGATAGTGTTGAACCCAATTTTTTCAGAATAAACGCTTATGCTATGCGAAATTCTATAAAAGTAATTTGTTTTCTTGCATATTTTTGAAATAATATATTCATGGTGTCCTTCAAATTTTAATTTACTGTGTACGTATATGCCCAAATATTTAAATGACTCGATTGACATAATTTTTTCATGATGAATTGTAAGATTTATCGTATTTTGATCTAGAGATTTTCCTATTAGCATATATTTTGTTTTGTTTGTGTTTAGATTAAGTTTATTTACATTTAACCAATCTATTACGATTTTCATGTCATTTAACAGATCTATTGCAGTTTCAATGTCTTTATTATATCAGCAACTAGTTGAATTTTGCAGTGTTGTAAAATATCAGGAATATCGTTAATATATAAAATAAATAGTAATGGACCTAATTTGCTACCCTGTGGCACACCTACCGAAATGTTTTTAATGTTTGATAATGTATTGCCAGTTTTAGATCTTTGACTTCTATTGATTAAATAATCTTGTAATAAGTTGAATACTAAACCTTGAAATCTATAGCAATGCAATTTCGTTAACAATTTCTCCCTGTCAATAGTCTCAAATGCTCACTCATATCATTTATTGGGCACTTTATATACAGTGGCAAAATCTGATAATAAAAAAGATACTGCTGCATTAAAACTTAGAAAGGTTTTACTGTTTCTGACTAAACTTAGATCTACCAACAACGCGGTTACTACTGTTCGATACAGAACGTTTTATTATCTACCTGTTCAAAATTAAGTGGATGTCCGACCAGTACTTCTCGAGATATTGGATCGTTTCCAGTAAGCTGCTGGAAAGGGATTGTCATTTGACAGTTATATTAAGATGTACTATACGACAATCAATGTGCATATTTGAAAATAGAGTCGGGCAATACCGCCGTTATTACTATCTGAACGGAAATGATCGATTATCCTTGTATTAAAAATTTGCTGAATATCCATCAACTACTTCCAGAAATATTTTACTGTTTGTAGACTTTTAAGTAACCATACACTGGCTAATTATCTATATCCAGCTTAGATACTTGAATCAGATTCCGTAACCCCGAAGCGGCACACGGCTTTGAATTAAGCTTTTCGTTTTTGGATACATGATTCCAAATATCTAAAACTTCAGCTTTGCGGGGTCTTTGCAGTGACAGAAGAGGTGCATTGACATTTCCTTCTGCTTTCTGTAGAATCTGCACGTAGACTCTTCTATGATGACCATGCTTGTACGAGTTACATAATTATCTAACGTAGGAATCTTTTTAGCTAAAAGAAGAGGTTGAACTTAATCACAAAAGAGCGATAGCAGAAATGGAATTCAGAAACGTATTTGAGAAATCTACTGAATATAAGTATTTCAATGTCCCTCAAAGAGAGAAACCAAGAGAACACAGTGAGTAGGGGTTACCAAAATATCAGTTCCTCCCAAAATACGGTGTGATGATAATATAAGAATTATAACCATCGTTTGTTATAGAAAAAGTGGAAACAGGAATAAGTAACTTCCAGCAAGTCCAAAAATACTATGGTTGGTATAACATCTATGTGATACCAGAAACGTACTTAGCTATGTCTTATGTCGTTGGAGAATGTTTGAAGATGTCTCAAGTTTCGCTATTTACCGCAAATTATGGAACTAAGTATGTCACTTTGGAGGAGTTTGAAGCTTTACAGATTCAGACAACCAGCATAGTGAGTGCTCTTTGGATGTACCTTAAATAGCTAATTTTATAAATACTAAAATACTGATTCATAAATACTACGAGTAATCAATATGCTGTGCCGCTGGAATATCGTGAGGATCTCGGCAATCAGTATCGCAGTTGTTATTGGGGGGTATACATTTTTAGTCAGTGATCCTGATTTGCTTGTATATGAGGTATCCAGAAAGTTCCCTTTCAGAAACAACTGCGTTTGAAATAACAAAGTTAATGTGTGGTGTAACAGTAGCGAAAACGTAAAAAAGAGATTAAAATAAAATACTCACCATGCATTTGAAAAGAAATTTCAATTACTGAGATGAACATGTTCTGCTCATAAATACTGCTTGAAGTTGTAGTCATTCGGTTCAAAAACCCAATATTGCTAACTTCCTCCTAAATTTACAACACTCGGGACTGTCAAGGTCTTCGATCGTGTTCATTGGGTACGGTAAACATACCTACATGACACTGGCCAGAACCATTCAGGAAAACACTCTTAATCTACTCTGGAAGTATCAATAGCATCTAACATCAAATCGAGAGCTTCATTGATGCTATAGGAACCCATACACCGCGCAGCACCTCATTCAGATGCTGACCCAGATCGTACCATAAAACATCGTACATTTTGACGTAGGATGCAGGGTTAGGCTGGCCCACTCAGGTTTTTTCGAAACCTAATGAGGGGCGTGGCAAGGTCTTGTGACACCCAGGGTGGAACTTCTACTTGTCAACCTACACAAAAATGCGAAATGTCACACTGCGGGCAATAAAGTTTGAGCTGCTCTCCTAGTGTCGATAGCTTTTAAAGGGTTTGTGGAGGGTAGCTAAAATCGTCCCGACGTGTTTTTTTATTCTTTGAAGCCTTTTGTTTCTTGTCACCCACTACAGGGCTGGCATCCGGGGTGGTCCGCCCCCGCACCCTCCTTCCTACGCGCTTGAACCTTATAATTCCGTTATCTTAAGGACTTGGTGTTTGTATTGCTAGAAATATTCGCTTATTGTTGCACGCATCACACGTTTTGTAGTCCCAAACTTAGGACACCCTCTATGTTTTATAAACAGAACAAAACGAAAGGGTATTTTGAAAATATTATCACTTGTCAAGCCGGTGTCTAGGAGATTATTTTAGTATATAACAATCAATACCACGTGGTGACCAAAAAGTCATAGATTTCTACTATACTGTTTGATGTTGTTGAACATTTATTTAGCATTAATGTTACTCGTACAACGTTAATTTTCTATAATGATTCGGTTACATATTTTTCTTCAATCCATTTTCTGTTATTTTACATTCTTGTCTATTAAAATTAAAATTACGTCACTATGTATTTTGATTATTCATAAAGTGATTTTTTAATTTCACCTTAAACATTTTTAAATTCGGACTCTGCTTAATATCATTATTCAATTTATTAAATTAAAATAGTGTTTTTGCGTTAAAAATAGAAAAAATAAGATATTTTCAGGTAATGAAACAGATGAAAGGCAGCTGGCTAGAAACCTTAGTCTTCAACATAAGAATGTGCTTGGGCGACCTTGGCAAAGGATGGTTTGACATGAACGAAAAAAACTTCGAAACATACGAAATATCCAAACTCAAACGGTTCATGGATCTGGTTAAATTCAGAATGCAGGTAAAAACCCGTTGGTCATTAGATGCTCCTTCTATTCGTCATTGAACGTTAGTGCGCTTCACAAGAACTTTGCTCTTGGTTAAAATTTTGTTGGCCAGCAGTTTCATCAATCTGGGTTGCACAGATAACAGATAAAGTTAGGGAGAAAGAAAGGAATTCAGACCGATAGCATCGTGAGCTACGCGGGTTCGAATCCCGTCCCAAGGGATTTTTTCTCTTGGTTATGCATGTTGTCATGGTCTCAGACTATCGAGCGTGGAGGTACCACCCGGCGGAACTACTGGGGCCATAATCTGAGCATGTCATATGCACACGTGTTCCCTCCCTCGGTAGAGTCCGTGTGACGTTCCCCAACTTTCCCATGTATCCTTATAGCCCTATAACTCTACGATAGCTCAAGTATGGTTGTCCAGTTACTTAAGGAAGCGTGTGTGTGTGTGAGAGAGAGAGAGACAGCAAACACGAGGGAGTGCTGTTAGAAGAATGCATTGGCAGTGTTATCTAAGATTCCGAAATTTTGACATTACATAATTCTCTTCCAGCATACTTTGAGGCTGTTAGTGGAAAATTCTCTGCAGACCTTCATAACCTTAGTGGAAACACCCTGTATACCATGTTTGGAAGTGGAAGATGACTTCGAATGGGGTCGTGATTTCGTGAACAGCCCTTTTGTTTCAAAAGCTTCCCCTATATTCATATTACAGTTGAAGATGAATGAAGAGGGAGCATACTATTCTACTCAACCAGAATTATTCAAGGTATAATTATGTGAAACTACATTATCTCCTGGGAAGCTTTTCCATAGAGGACGGCCAAATGTTGAAGTTAAATAAACCAGGCTGTGTGTGATGCTTAAGTAGACAATATGCTTCGAATATGATTTCATTCATATATATTTTCTATGGCTCTGGCATATCCTAGCGGGGCAGGCTGGTATTACTTATTTTCTTAAAAATGAAACGGGAGGCCTTGAACAGCGCCGATATGTATTTTCAACGTCTAGAGGCTGGATAAAGAGCCGACTGACTTATATCACTGATAAACGTTAAGTAAAAATAAGTCTTAACTTGAATCCCGATATTTATATACAGGGTGTCGGAATAATACTGTATCGCCTTGTATACAGGGTGGCGCATCGAAAACGAAACAGGCGCATTTACTGGCAGCTCAGTATTTTTTTTGGAAAAACGCTCAGACCCGTCGATTTTGTTTTCGAGGGGGACACAAGTTTATCAAAAAATCACGTTAACAGGTGCAGCCCCCTGGGCGAGGGTGACACGAACCCTAAAATCTTAAATGGAAAGGGGGGGTCGAGTGATACCTTATTTTAAAGGTCTTTCAATTCCCTTTATAATGATGTAAAATACATAAGATTTATTGATTTAAAGCTTAAAGTAGACTTTAATAGGTACATAAGATTAGTTTGTATTACTTTCAGAAGAAATTTGACTAAAAGAATTTACTTAATAAATGAATGCTTTTCTTCTCTACGCCCATGGTTTGTTTATCATTTTGTTGTTGAAAATAGCTATTGGATGAAAGATAAGGAAATATCTCGTACTTACTTTAAATAGGAATTTAGTACATAGTTTGCGATTGATTTGACCAAACTTTGTTGCTAAAATAACTTGTAACGCTTTATTACATAAATTAACCATGGTATATTCCACAGCAGAAATAGTTGAAATTATCGAAATATTTTTCGGAAATAATCAGTGCGCTAATAGAACAGCAGAAATATTTAATGAGCGACATGAGAACAGTAACGTGCATCGAAAATATGTTCTAGAACTTGTAGCTAAATTTCGGGAAACTGTATCAGCCGCCAATAAAAAACGCGACATTGAAAATCCCATAAGGAACGAAGCAATAGAAGTGGGGGTTTTAGGGCAAGTTTATGTAGATCCTACGTTAAGTACTCGCAAATTGGAGTGTGGTGATAATCGACGTACTATCCAACGGATTCTAAAGGCCCATAGTTTTCATCCGTATAAAATTCACCTGGTACAACAACTTAATGAAGACGATTTTGATCGGCGATTACAATTTTGTGAAGATATGAGTGAACGAATTATAAACGATGAACATTTTCTACGCTTTTCCGACGAATGTTCCTTTATCTTAAATGGCATAGTAAATCGTCATAACTGCCGATATTGGTCCGATTCTAAGCCCAGAATTTGTCATGAGGTTCATACACAGCAGCCACAGAAATTAAATGTTTGGGCTGGTATTTTTGGCGATCATTTAGTTGGTCCTTTTTTCTTACCTGGAAATTTGACCGGTGAAATAGTTGAAAATCAGAATGATCGGTGGTACATTGCGAATAGGTTGATGTTCCAACAAGATGGTGCCCCACCACATTACGTATTACGTGTTCGACTATATGTAGATCAGACGTTTCCAGATCGATGGATTGGTAGAAGAGGTGCCATTGAATGGCCCCCAAGGTCGCCAGATTTATCACCTTCGGATTTCTTTATGTGGAGTCATTTAAAAAGCTACTCAGCCAACATCATTAAACTCTGGGCGCTGAAGAAAGACATTAAACGTAAACAGTGATCAGCACGTGAACAGATCCCTCGAAAGCATCCACGGATATACTCCAGTCACTTTAGGTCTAAACATCCTCGGCAGTGTATTTCTACTGAATCCACAGACCCTTTTTCGTGTCATCTTGAGACTAGAAAAAGGATGACTGTTAAAATAAGTTACCTTGATCTTTCATGAGCTCCCAGTACAAAACATCATCGATATATTTTTGATGTAGGAACAACAAATTGGTTTAGAAAACATCCACTTTGAACCTAAATTGACTGGAGTAACATCGATCTACAGACAAATTCAAGGTCACTAGCAGTCCTCGGCGCTCTACGAATCTGCACAGGTTTGGACTTGTAAACGTGATTGTAGATGACACGACAGGCATCTAACAGTTAATTCACGCACAGGATTGCATTGCATACGCATTACGCATTCAGTAGCGTATACTCGTTTTTCGCGAGTGGAACGTTTTGTTTATATATTGCCTAAGATACGATGTCTGACACAGATACAGCCGACGAAGTGGTTGACATCAGCGCAACCCCACCCAAAAAAAGGGCTAAGAAGCTACATTTAAGTGCAAATGAAAAACAAATAATATTAAATATATACAAAAACCAAATTCAAGAAAAACCCGATTTGGTCGTGGACGAAGTTATATGTAAGGTAGCACATATTTCTGGAGTATGTCGGTCCAGTGTTTATAGGATCATTAAGGAATATAGGAGCACTCACTCACTTTCTGAGCCAAAACCGTATCCTGCAAGAAAAAGGATAACGGACGGAGTAGATGACTTTGACAGAACTGCCATCAGGAGGAAAGTGCATAATTTTTTCTTCCGAAATGAGATACCTACAGTAGATAAGATATTAAGTTCAGTTAATGCTGATGAGGATCTTCCATCATTTAAAAGAACCACATTCCGAAAGCTTTTGAAGGAACTTAATTTTCGATTCTTGAAACGGGGAAGAAACAGTATGTTAATAGAGAAAGAAGAAATTGTTGTGTGGAGAAGGGAATACCTTAGGAAGATTCGGAAGTTTCGCGATGAAAAAAGAAAAATTTACTATTTGGACGAAACGTGGGTGAATGCTGGACATACTCAAGCGAAAGTTTGGGTCGACAAATCAGTAACATCATCAAGGCAGGCTTTTCTAGACGGTCTTTCGGCTGGATTGAAAAATCCTGCAGGTAAGCTCCTTCATCTATCCGGCAATTTAATTTTGATAAATTCGGGCAAATAATATGCTGTGATAGCAGATAATGTGTGATATTCTCCAAAAATGGTGCATTCGCAGTGTAGTCATTAGGAAAAAAACTTCGACCCTCTTTTAAGCGTTATTTTGAAATTTATTATCATTTTTGGGTGCAGTCAATTTGCTTTGAATGGGTTTTGAGAAGTTGCAAACTTCAATTTTCTACGTTTTTCAGTTTTTGATCAGCATTCCGTGACTCTTAAATTCAGCTAAATGAACTCAATTGCCTCATTCCTTCAAATTTAATCAATCCATAGTGTAAGGAATAATTTATTTCCAGGAAAAGGCAAACGGCTGATCATTTGTCACGTAGGTAGTGAAGACGGCTTTGTTCCCGAAGCACTGTGGGCCTTTGAATAAAAAAAAAAGGGGACTATCATGAGGAGATGGACGGCAATTCCTTTGAAAATTGGTTCTCCAAAATGTTACTAAAGCTGGAGAATAACGCTGTTATTGTACTGGATAATGCCCCGTACCATTCTAGAAAAATAGAAAAAATTCCCACAATGGCAACTAAAAAAGCAAACATACAACAATGGCTGGCCTCAAAACAGATCGATTTTGATGAAACAATGGTCAAGGGTGAATTGATAAGTATAGTCAATAGACATAAATACAAATACGATTTTAAAATGATCGACGAAATGGCCAAAAAACAAAATAAGACTGTCTTGAGACTGCCACCCTACCATTGTGAGCTGAACCCTATTGAGCTGATTTGGGCCAACATAAAGCAATACGTGGCGTCGAATAATAATACTTATAAATTTTCTGATGTTAAAAATCTCTTTCACATCGCAGTCAATAGAATTACGGCAGAGGAATGGAAAAACTGTATCCGCCACGTTCGGGAGAAGGTTGAGGTCAAAATGTGGGATTTGGACAATGTCATCGATACCCAAATTGAACCTCTAATAATTCATTTAAACGATTCAGAAGATTCAAGTTCCTCTTCTGAATGAGTGCGCGCAGCTTACTTACTAATAACTAAAAAGTGTAGTTAACTCATTTGTGAATCTCTAACTGAAATTTACTGTAAAAGATAATAATTATCTTGTATGAAATTTTTGATGACTACCCATAATATCTTGATGCGGTCCTGTAATGTCTCCTGCGCCTAAACACTCACTCACGAGCAATATGCGTGTATTTGTTTGGGTTTAGTTTCTTTCTTCAGCGCCTAGAGTATACGTATAGAAGACCTGCGATAAAGAATTGTGAATGAGTGCCTTCAAATTACTCCTCAAATATTGCAAAATGTGCGGTAAAGCTTTGAGCAAAATCTTTATTATTTCATGGAGAGTTATGGTGGCCGTTTTCAACATTTACTTGCCTGACGGGTCAGTTCATTGTCCATTTTTAAATTACTTTGCTGCCAAATGTATTGATCTTCACTAATGATGATGTATTAGTTTTATTTAAGCTTTAAATCAATAAATCTTCAAAACTACTGAACTGAAGTACATTAATTTTATATCATTAGAAAGGGAAAGACGTTTAAAATAAGGTATCACTCGACCCCCCTTTCCTTTTAAGATTTTGGGGGTGGTGTCACCCCCGCTTAGGGGGCAGCACGTGCTAACGTGATTTTTTGCCAGACTTGTGTCCCCCTCGAAAACAAAATCGACGGGTCTGAGCGTTTTTAGAAAAAAAAAAACTGAGCTGCCACTAAATGCGTCTGTTTCGTTTTCGATGCGCCACCCTGTATAGATGATTACAGATTTTGGTGGAAGTGCCGATGCGACGATATACAATGCACATTCACCATTTATGTACTACTAGCTGTTACCCTCGACTTCGTACGCGTTGAATTGTTACTAACATATGACATTGTATTTTGAGTATTGCTATAATTGCATTGAATTAATGAATTGACAATCAATTTCCAGGCTTATGTTATTTTATTCGTTGAGCCACCTATAGGCTGTGGGAGTAAAGCCGCGAGGCGAAAGGCTAACATTAATAGTATTACCAATTTTATGAATTAGAATTTTAAATTAAACTAAATTTAAGATAGTAAAAGCTACCCCTCTGCCAAATTTTCTGTCACAGAATCCAAGTCTACTCTTAACAGAACCTCATCGAAGACAATTTTTAGATATTAAAAAGCTGCAAGAAACTTCAAGCAAATTTGCAAGGGCCATTTGATCCGTCAATTCGACCCTGTCACAAAATCCGTTCCTAGCTCAAATGTCCTGTCCATAAGCTACGTTTCTCTCAAAGTTTAATGATTCTAGGTCAAATGGTTTTCGAAATGTCGTAGTTAATTTGTATTTTTTCGCTTCTATACAGGGTGTCCGCAAAGTTGGGGTTTTCCTTTTCAGAAACAACTACCCTTGAAATAACAAAGGTAATGTGTAGTGAAACGAGGGCCACCAAGTAAAAAAAATAAAGGAAAAAGTACTCACTCTCCAGTTGACGAGAAGGGCTAAGTACGTCTCTGCCCGAAATCATACCGCTCCAACAGAAAATGAAATCAGCTGACGCGCTACCGAGCAGACGCAGGCAAACAAGGAAGGCAAAATGTTGCGTAATGACCAAACATGAGTGTTGCGAAAGTTATTCTCCCCATTACGCGTGAACGTAGTTTCGTCTCTCACCAATATGCACTTCAAAAAGTCCGGATTATTGTCATGTTGATGCAACAACCACTCACAAAACCGAACTCTTGCTGGAAAATCGTCAGGTTGAAGGGATTGTACACGTTGGACGTGAAACGGATACAGCCCCTCTTCACGCAGCGTTTGCCACACTTTAGTTTTTGATACTTGCACTTCTCTAGCCACGTCTCTAGTGCTTGTTGTTTTTTGAAACGCAATCGATTATATGGGTTCGTTTACCTCTACACGCGTGACCGTAACCGTCGGTTGAAGGTTGCATATTGACCTAACACACTGACCCCGACCCAGTTCTGCCGTCGGGTTGAGACCTTGTACCAATCGGTGATGTCCCGGGTCGCAGCTACAGGACGGTATTCAGATATTTTTGATGTTGCAGAGCCCTTTATCTCGGTTCCCTTAAGACATTGGTGTATATGGTACTACGAAAAATTGCTTATGTTTTCAAGATCTACATGTCTACACCCTGTATATATTTGCCCTCAGTCCCTTAATCTAGCCCTGTTGTGAAATCCGTTTTTAGCAGTTATTCCTTCTCCAAGAAGTACCTCTCTACCAAATGTCATGTGCATAGCTTAAGTAGTTCCAGATACTTTGTAATTAATGTGTATCCCTTAATCCTGAGCTGTTGTGAAATCCGTTTTTAACTGTCCTGTCCATAAACTACCCTCCTACATAATTTCATGTGTTAGGTCAGTTTTTGGTCAGTTGTTGTGTACAGGGTAGGACAAAAAAGTTATGATAAGTTATTTACCGAAATAGTGCTGTTAGTGGCGCCCTCTAGAAGTTTGGCCATAAAAAATAACCGATTCTTGTTTCTCACACTAGCAAACCTCCCTATAACGAGTTTTATGCCAAAATATGAAATACTTCTCAAGCAATAAGGAAAAATATAAAATAAAATTGTAACTTTGACACCCGGTATCACGCAAACTATCAGCTTTTGGACTGAGGTATGTTCAGGTCGATTCACATATTTTGTTCCGTAGTATCTCTAGTTTCGAGACTTGCCAACCTTTCGCCCTTTGATCTAACCGCAGTCAGTATAAGCCAAAGGCATTTCATAGTAAAACTTCTGTATTACTATTTATATGTAACTACATACCATACACATAAATTCTGCTTCTATCTAAAATTCTGATACAACTAATAAAATTTGTCATCATCCGGGTTTGCTTGCTACGCAGTGACAAACAGGTATTTTATCCATATAAGCCTTTCAGTCAAAATTCCCAGAAATTGCACTCATTAAAATTTGTCAACTAAAAACTTGTTAATATACCATATTATATCAGCTTAATTACTTGGATTATACGTAGTTAAAATGTATTTGAATTTGTTCACCTGTGATCAATGTATTTTATCACTGATGTGCTGGTACGTGAAAATTGAGTAGAAATACAGAAGCTTTTGATCTGTGCTGCTCTCATTACGAATTAATTGTACATACGCTACATAAAGTTTGGCAATTAAAATACCGTGAGTATGGACCATATTCTACTGCCGGCTGTCGCACACCAGGCCATTACTCGACACTACCAGTGGTCGAGCGTTGTTTGAAATTTGTAGCAATGTTATTTCGAACTTTGACTACACAATTTTTGAGATCACGACATTCCGGTGAATCGTCTTCAGGTCACTGGCAAACATGTGCTTTCCGTAGCTACTCATGATACTGTTATTCGAGAAGATAAACCCTCGACACCTTTTCTGACGCGTGGCGAACTCGACCAAATTTTCGAAAATTTCAATATTATATATGTTATCTTTTAGTCCAATCAGTTGTGTTAGAATGATATCCACATGCAAGTATATTTTCCTTTTGTGGCAAATCAATTTGTTCACAATATTAATGTGAATAAATTATTATTATTATTATTATTATTATTATATTTTATTACATACTAGGCTAGACCCTTCCAGAAGCAGGAGATTGTCATCACATACTAAAGCGCTTTTTTGATTGGTTGTTGGGTTATTAGCAATTTTAAATTGTAGGGCTATACAGTACGCAACAAATATTACTTTTAAGGTTGCAGGCTTTCTGAATTGAAGTTCCTTCCCCTGCAAGACCCTGAAGGGTATTTCACGCTTAATTCATTTTAAAGCAATTTTTAGCCTTGACTTTCGCAAGTTGTACCTTTTACCTCCTAATATTTTATTTTACTTATACTTTTTATAGAAAGTGATTTTACGTCTATTCGACGAAGCTTTGAGACAGACCCATCAGATCAAACAGGTACACCCTCTCCTGCTTCCAAACTTACGCTTTCCCAAGGATCTTAACTTATCTTCTGTAGGATTGTTAGCTGAAGAAGTAAGTATACAATTTAAACCTATACTTACAGGCCGTATGTGGACAATTGCTTGGACTCGAACAATTAATGTGATTGATTGCTGTGAAAATATTGTTCTCGTACATAAAGCGATCTGTATCGGAGTATATTAAATGTACACTAAATTGCAGGTTGTGAGTATCCGTGACAGATTCATGAGAGCCTATGATAGAGCTTTAGTACCACTTTTAGCTTACGCTAACGAGTATAAAGTACACACTGAACTATATACTATGGATGTAGCTCAATTTATAGAGTGAGTAATCCTTATTTTATTGAATACTTCATCTAACTCGTTGATATACCTTTTTAATTTATAAATAACTATGGTCACAATCAAAGAGGTATTTAAAAAAAGAATATAATGTATAGGGATTACGTGAAATATTATTTTGGGCTGACTCGACGATTTTTAAAAGTTTATATACACATTTGTAGACAATACAAGTCAGAGCAACACACAGCTGTCGAAGTGAAAGAAGAAGTATCACTGCATTTGCGCCATAAAGCAAATTTGGAAGCAACGTTGCCGACCAATATATTCATTGGACCTTATAATATAAATGTAGAGCAACTGAGGCAGTTTCTCATTGCCAAACGCCAAGAAATAGCTACTAGGCTCTTGGATATGTTTGCTGCTAGAATGAAGGAGATATTTGAGGACGTAAGAGGCTTCTTAGGCCGGTATCGTCAGTCGTACCTACAATTGTAGGGCGCGTTTATGGCCTCCTTGATTGTCATACTCCTTTCTCTCCTTCAAAAATTTCTAGATTACACTTGTCCCGTGTCAGCGTCAGCGCTCTCCTATTGTGAAGATATGTTTTCTTTTTAAATTGTAGGCAATTTCAGGCTGATAAAACATGTTATAACTCAAAAGCAAGCACAATTTGATGCAAATAGATGTTTGTGACATAACCTCAAAATAGAGTTCTGACACGAAGAAGTAGAAAACTATGACAATCAAGGAGGCCATAAAGACGCCCTACAATTGTAGGGACGACTGACGATACGGGCCTTAGACAAGTGATCAGTAGATTTTAGATGCATTTGCTTTGCGTAATAACTTTAATTGTTTGAAAAATAGTTGTCAGAGCTAGTATTGACCAAAAATGTATGGTAGTAACAAGACTAAACTATATTGAGTAGAACCATTAATACTTTTTAGATATTGGAGGAATACAGAAAAATTATGGTCAAGTTAGCAGAAAAGCCAGAACATATAGAACGCATCCTTGAAATCCGCGATTGGATAGAAACGGTACCAATGTCTGTAAGATCTTTGGATGAATCAGTGAAGAGATACCTTCTGGTGAGTCTTGATATGCGGCTCAATCAGTTTTCAAGCTCTTTAGGTTCTTCTTTTCGAATACTATTTAGTGACCTTTTTTGCAGTTTCTGAATCCAGTGTCTTTGCAAATTTCACAACTCCTAAATATTTTTAAAAATTTTCCAATTTTCTCAAATTTCGAAACTTCCAAATTTTTTTCAAAAATTACCAGATCTTCAAATCATTTTCCAAACTTCCGAATCTTACAGTTCTTTTTCAAACTTATCTTTTAAAAATTTTCAAATTCTATTTTTCCAAGATTATTGTATTATCATCAGCCCTTGACCTCCGTGCACATTTTCAAGTTATTCTTCTTCTTCGAATTGGTGAAAATTAGGTTGAAAGATGTCAGGGTGTAAGGTTAGTAGTGGATCAACGGATGTCAGGTGGTAGAAGGCCTCAAAACATATCGAATGAACATCCATAATCAAATCCAAGCGAATTACCAACATTTCTGTGTTATGTACTGCGGTTATAATATGAGATAACACTCGGGTTGATGACGTCAGTCACTCGAATCGCTTGAATGCGTTGGTTTTAACCGCGGTTTTGTTGCAAGTTGCTTATTTTAGAAAAGCGCGTATATAATTTCCGATTATTTTTATTATCACTTAATAATCGGTGCTCTTTCGTCTACAACGGTGTATGGAAAGTTAAAAAAAGAAACCTTTCATTAATGGGAGAAATGTTTTTTTTCAGAAAAAAATGTTTAATGATGGAACCATGGCTTTGTAGCTATGATAACCTTCAATTCTCTAAACCTTTTCGCATGTGAAAGATAACATTTATTAATTTAGCAGAAATGATAGGAAAAAGCGATAGAAAAATATATTAGCAAATCCATATACAGGTGGACATCATCCAGTGAGTTTATATGGCGATATTTTAATATTCTTGTTGTATATGGCTACACAGGAGACTTTGTTACACATAGGAAGTAGATTTAACGTGTCCCCAACAAAAGTAATGGTTATAATTAATAAGATGCTCTTATTTATGCTAAAACTGAAGTCAGCCTGTATCAAGTTTCCCAAAAATGAAGCTGAAGTACAATAAAAATGTCCAATACTTTCTATAAAATTTCTAACCACACATAAATCAAATTCAAGCGAATAACCAAATGAAAACGGTATTTACCATTTTGGATTTGTATTTACCGATCCGTTCAAGCGAGTGTGGTTATCAGTAGCAAGCTGAAAATTTCAGGGTTTATTCTACATGGATTGAAATAGTTTTAACAATAAAATGAATAATGAAATACAACCTCAATTCTTTTACCGCCCTCCAAAGTTGAGGGATGGATGAGATTTTTCACAAAAAAATTAATTTAGTAATGGTTTAGTTGTAATTGCGATTGAAAGTTGATTACCCCGTTTTTTTTCGAAATTTCAAAAAAATTGCAAATACCTCCTGAACTATAAAATTTCTAACCACACATATAAATCAAATTCAAGCGAATAACCAAATGAAAATGGTATTTACCATTTTGGATTGGTATTTACCTTTCCGTTCAAGCGAGTGTGGTTATCAGTAGCAAGCTGAAATTTTCAGGGTTTATTCTACATGGATTGAAATAGTTTTTACAATAAAATGAATAATGAAATACAACCTCAATTCTTTTACTGCCCTCCAAAGTTGAGGGATGGATGAGATTTTTCACAAAAAAAAAATTAATTTAGTAATGGTTTAGTTGTAATTACGATTGAAAATTAATTATCCCGATTTTTTCAAAATTTTACAAAATTGCAAATATCTCCTGAACTACAAAATTTCGGACTACAAATATATAGGTTATATATATATATATATATCACCTGACTTCCGTTGATCCACTGCTAACTTTACACCCAGTAGACATACAGGACCAGCTAATAAAAGCGTGTTAAAGTTAAAAATATATCAATTGACAGGAATATGACGTCCTCGATCACTTTTGGTATGCTTTACCCAACGAAGATTTCGATAACAAATATCAGGCGGTGGGCTGGCCTATGAAGATTTCTCAGCAAGTGGAGGCAGCTGATATCTTCTTGAAAGAAGAAGAAGAACGGTTCTACAAGTTGCAGTTGCAAGACGAATTCACGCTTCATGATAAGATTGAAACTTTGACAGCACAGGTTGTGCAAATGGCTCAGCTGAGAGACTTCACGAAGGTAAGGATTTCAAAAGAAGAATGTAGGCAGGATTTTCATTATATTCGTTACTTTCAGAATGAGATTTCTCTCAGTTCAAGGATATATATGACGACTAATAATAGTGTTTGCTTTTCAACAACATTAGCGTAAAACTAACGATATTGTTTAAGTTTTGATCACATTGGTCAATGTCTTATTTCATTTTACTTCCTTCACCAATTAGCGAGGAAGTATTGCAATAGCAAAAAAATTGAAAATGAGACTTGATGTTTTTTTTTGTTACATGATATTTACACTATGAAAAACCATTTCCGTTGGTCTGTTTGTTTGTCTATCTGCCTGTCCGTTGGCTAATTTTTGGAACTTGGAAAGTATTGGTCAGATTTTGATCAAATTTTGACACAGTGCTACACTCTGCCAAGGCCAAAAAATCTTTATAGCTCTCAAAGATGGATCCAGTGGCGGTGGAGCTACGGGCAAAAAAACGAAATATACAGAAATCGCTTCGTTTTTTTTTGACATTTTAGAGGGTTTAGGTGGTAATTTTTTTCGAAATCCTGCAGGATGGGTTCATGCTGCAGCAGGTAGGGGATTGTGAATATTGCATCTCTGGTATCAGTGAAAGATGTTTTGCCATTAGCTTCTGATCACAAAAGTGACAGCATAGAGACAAAAGATGCTTATAATCATAAAAATATAAAAATAAAATTGCAGTTTCGCATTTGAGAATATGTCGCATGCGAGATTAGAGAAAAATGCCCCTGGCTCAAAAAATTGTTAGTACATTAAGTGTAAATTGCTACAAAAACTATTGTCAGCTCTCCAGAATGGTATAAAACATCTGTATGAAAGCGTTTAATTCTTAACATATGACCAATCAGATGATCCGTTAACTGGAAGATATATTTCAAATTAATTTTTCACAACTCTCATGTCATGACAAATACCATTACGAATTTTTTGGCTACGAATAGAGGGGTTGCATTTGTTTCCTAGCTCCTGTTTTTGTCGTATTTTTGATAAAAGAATCCTCAGTTGTTTTGACGCATTACTTATAGGGTAAAGAAATTGCTCCAGTATAATGCGTTCCCTAAGGACTGATTTTATGCCCGAATAAACTTTTTCCAAGCAATCTGTGTAGACCTCTTGGCCTGCAGCAAAATATTTCTCAGGTTGTCAGTTAAATTGAACCGCAATATGGAATACGCATGTTTTTTAATATACATACAGGGTGGCCCATCCATGTGGACATTTTGGAAAAATATATTTATGGCATGTTATACATGACATTTGAAGGCACATTTCTAAAATATTGTTAATTATACAGGGTGTCCCAATTTTGACTTACAGCTGTGATTTTTTAAATGGAATACCTCAAATTTTATTGCATATTTGGATAAACCAATTTAAAAGAAGAATATTGATATAACATACTATGGGGTTTTGGTAATTAGTCATTGAGATGTAAGATGTTTTGTCCAGAAAAATCGTCTACTTCGGCAACCTGTCAATCCGCCATTTTGAAATTTGGAGTGCTGAATTTTGTATAAAATAAACTTACACACCTCAGCTTTTATCTTATTTGTTACTTTTTGGAATTTTCATTTTTGCTCATACAGTGTGGTCAATAACGCGAATTGTACTTTTTTTCAAAAATTTCGTTTGCATTTGTGCAAGTTTCGATTCACTTTTTTTATAAGCTTTTTTTTGGTATAAGGTTTGATCTAGATACAATCACTAGATTTTGAGTTATTAAGCTTTGAATAGAACAACATACCAAAATTAAGGACAAAAATCGCATCATCCATGGAAACAAAAGACAAACAGTGGGCTAGTTCCATATTGCCACTAAGAGTACAGATGTGACGTAAAAATTAATAACGATCAGAACAGTATTCAGCTTCAAGCATAATAGAGAAAAACTATAATAACAACATAAACAAACAATTATCACTACTCAAGAGCTAATCTACAAAAACTGCTCGAAAATATCTCCATCATGTTGAATGCACAGCCGTAGTCTTTGGATGAATGACCGTTACACATCTCTCAGCATGTATTCCCTTATGTTCAGAAAAGCATCCTTAATCCTTTCCTTCATATTTTTCGGGGTATATGGTGGATATCTATAAATCTCTTGCTTAACGTAGCCCCATAGAAAGAAGTCTATCAGTGTTATATCTGGTGATCTAGGAGGCCAAGATATAGGCCAAGATATAATGCGAGATGCTAGGAAACTATTTCATAGGGCTTCGCCCAAAACGAACACCATATTCACCAATTCTTCTTTAGAAAAATTCATTTTCAAACACGTTTTTAATAATAATACTCACAAAGCTAATTTGGACAGTTTGTAATTAATCATCAATTTATTTGTTTCCAAGGATGATGCGATATTTTAAGGAATTAAGCAGTTCCATAGAAGTGCTAATAACCGAAAAAATAGCCGTAAAAACCTTGTGTCTAGTATCAAAAAAAAGGTTATGAAAAATTGAATCCAAATTTGTACAACTATACAGGGTGATGCATTTGAAATTTTTGGGAAAAACTACAATTTGCGTTTTTGACCACCCTGTATGAGCAAAAATTAAAATTCGAAAAAGTGACAAATAAGATAAAAGCTGAGGTATGTAAGTTTTTTTTTTGATACAAAATTCAGCACGCCAAATTTCAAAATGGCAGACTGAGGCGTTGCCGAAGTGTGGGGTTTTTCTAGACAAAACACCTTATATCTCAGTAGCTAATTACCATACCCCATAGTATGTTATATCAATTTTCTTCTTTTGAATTGGTTTATCCAAAGATGCAATAAAATTTGAGGCATTCTATTTGAAAAATCACAACTTTGATATGTAGGTCGAAATTGGGACACCCTGTATAATGGCCAATATCTTAGAAATGTGCCCTCAAATGTCATGTATAACATGCCATAAATAGATTTTCCCAAAATGTATTTATTTATGAGTTATATTCAGTCAACACATGGATGGGCCACTCTGTATATATATATATAATACCGTATGCACATATTTCATTCATGGAAATGTCTATTTTTTAAACTGAATATTTAAAAGTGCAATGACGTTAGTTTAAACGGCGCATTTTTCGCGCGCTTCGCAGTGACGTCACAGCTCACGGTTTGTCGTTTTATTCTGTTTGGTCAATTTGCTTTGTTTGTTTGTTGAAGATATATTTAGAATTATCGCTACAATGTCAATTTTGCATAATTATTCGTTTACACATTTTTACAATGATTTTTTTCTAATTTTACATTCTTGTCTATTAAAATTACACTACTTTGAATTTTGAGTATTCATAAAGTGATTTTTTAATTTCACCTCAAACATTTTCAAACTCGAAGACTGTTTAATATCATTATTTAATTTATTGAATTCAGATACTCCCTTTTGGAATACAGATTTGCTAGTTATGCTACTGTTACAATTTTGCAGATGAAAATCTATACTGTCTCTAGTTTCGTAGTTATGACAATGAAGTTTTCTAGATGTGGTGGTAATGGATGATTTTTTAATTTAAATATGAAAATAAGAAATTTTTACATTCAACCACTGTAGTTCTTATAACGTAGACTTGATCTTAGCATATTTGTTCTTATTTAAAATTATTCTCGTAGCTTTATTTTGGAGAAATTACAATTTTGAAAATATCTTTTCATTTACTGTAAACAAGATGCGATACACATTTTTTTTTTGAATAAATACTGAGATTATGGGGACATTTTTGAAACAATATATCTGTAATGCTCTTGAAACAGTAGTTTACTATCCACATAACATATATACCTAGATATTTGAATGCTGTCAAGTTTTGAAAGGTTCTATTTTTCTTTTGTTGTTTTTGGGGAGATATGTCTTGGCGGAGAAATTTCCCCGCTGGTGGCAGCACGTTTACTGTCAAACGATCTATTGTGCACAAGGGCCGTAACGCATTGTGTAGTTAGACAGCTCAATGGCGGATTTTGCGTTCTGATATTTCAAATTTGCCGCGTATTTTTTCCATCCTTTATTAATTAATACTCGTAATTTTAAAGTACAAAATGAGCTTGAAGCTGGCTTTCTGTAGCAATATAGACTGTAAATAGCAATAAACACCCGATATCAGGATCATATGTATATTCCCTATTGCGTGAGAAGTACAGGGTCAACTTACTTGACGACATTTTGTGTTCTATAATTTAATATTCTTCATCAACAGACTCACGAAATTGCCCTGGACATGCGGAGGGTTTGGAAGAGTATGAAGGAAGCTCAAGAAATGGGACAGCTTCTTAACCAAAGGCAAAAGTTGTTCAATGTACCAGTTGTGCCATTTGATGATTTGGGTAAACTTATTAAGGAATTTGAACCTTACAAGAATTTATGGGGCACTGCCTCAGGTACTATTTTACACTTTTACTGATTTTTCCAAAGCGTCTTCATATTGTGGCAGATACAGTGTTAACGAAACATAAGGGTTATGGGTTCAAACCCCAAAGATAACAGATTTTTCAAGTGTGAGTATTATATTCCATTTTTCAATTCTCATTTTGACAGATTGGTTAAGAGCTTACGAAATCTGGATGGACAATCCGATCCAAAACATAGACGCCGACTCCATAGAGATGAGCGTAACTGACATGTACAAGATGATGGTACGATTGATTAAAATCTTTGCTGACATCGAAGCTGTTCAATCAGTGGCCAGTGAAATTCGCAATCAAATCGATCAGTTTAAGCCACTTATCCCAATTCTGATGAGTTTGAAAAATCCGGGCATGAAACAGCGCCACTGGGATAAGTTTGCTGAAGACACTGGTAGGTTGATATGAAAAATCCAAATTTCTTTATTCGTTTAGAGAATAAGAATTGAATACTCTATAAATTTAAATTCAATATATTTGTTTGTTTGTTTCAGATTTATTTAGCATTAATGCTACAATGTCCATAATATCCATATTACACAGTATATCACAAAATATAATTTCTTCAAGACTACATATTTTTATACAAAATTTCACTACTATGAATTCTGGTTTTCCATGAGATATTTTTTCAATTTCCCTTTGAACATTTTCAAACTGGCACACATCTTGATGTCATTACTTAATTTATTAAATTCGTACAATCCTTTTGAAATACTGACTTGCTCGTTATATTGCTACTGCAGTTTTGTATATGAAAGTCTATACTTCCTCTAGTAGAATAATTGTGGAACTCATTGTTCAATAAAATAAAATTTTCTAAGTGATTTGGTAGAAGATGATTTTTCAACTTGAATATGAAAATGAAAACCAAGTAGGCTATGAAATTTTTGATATTTAACCATTGTAGTTCTTTCATCATAAAATTAATTCTAGTATATTTATTTTTATTTAGGATGATTCTCATAGCTTTATTTTGTATTATTTGTAATTTTGAAAATACAGTTCCATGTGCAGTGAACAAAATAGTCGAACAATATAACAAATGAGGAAGAATGATAGTGTTGTACAAAATTCTTTTAGAATAAACGCTTAGTCTATGCAAAATTCTATAAAAGTAATTTATTTTCTTGGATGTTTTTGAAATAATACATTCATAGTGCCCTTCAAATTTTAATTTACTGTCTACGTATATGCCCAAATATTTAAATGATTCCATTGACATAATTTTTTCATGATTAATTGTAAGATCTATCGTATTTTGATCTAAAGATTTTCTTATTAGCATATATTTTGTTTTGTTTGTGTTTAGTTTAAGTTTATCTACATTTAACCAATTTAATACATTTTTCATATCATTATTTAACAGCTCTATTGCAGTTTCAATGTCTTTATTTGATATATATATATATATATATATATATATATATGTATATAAATATATTAATGAATCATCAGCCAATAGTTGAATTTTGTAGTGTTGTAAAATATCAGGAATATCGTTAATATATAAAATAAATAGTAATGGACCTAATTTGCTACCCTGTGGCACACCTACCGAAATGTTTTTAATGTTTGATAATGTATTGCCAGTTTTAGTTCTTTGACTTCTATTCATTAAATAATTTTGTAATAAGTTGAATACTGAAACTTGAAATCCATAGCAATGCAATTTCGTTAACAATTTCTCCCTGTCAATAGTCTCAAATGCTCTCTTGAAATCTAAGAACAATGTAAATGTACACTTTTTTGCATCCATATTTCAACTTCATTCTTCTACTACCATTTGAATTGCTGTTTCAGTAGAAAACGTTTTTCTGAATCCTGCTTGAAATTTTGCCAATATCTTATTTTCATCAATATACAGGTACTCAATGACTTGTTCATATATGATTCCTTCTAAGAGCTTCTCGACAGCACATTAATTGGCCACATGTTTGTATATAACTCAGAATTTTGCACTTTTGGAACAGGAGTAATTGTAGAACATTTTAATTTTGAAGGAAATTCGCCATACACTAAACAGTGATTCACTAGTTATAATAACTTCTCTCCAATAATGTTGAAACATTCCTTCATAACCATTTTTGAAAGATGTTCACTAGGATTTCTATTCGATTTCAATCTTGTAATAGCTTTTGAAAGATAGCTGATATTTATTGTTTGGAATTCTCACATAGAAGAACTACAAGTAACTTGCATGTGACATAGATTTGGATCCCCATCTTCGATTGATTCCACTATGTCATTTATACTTTCTATAAAATAAGTGTTCATTCGTTCTGCAATCAATATTTTTTGTGTTACTATACCATCTTCGAAGCACATTCTTGATAATTCATTCTTCCTACTGGGAGATACGATATTTTTCAGTGTGTTCCACATCATTTTACTGTTATTTTTATTTCTATCGATTTTGTTTTCATAATATTTTTTCTTCTCGTTCCTAAGATTTGTTAAGCACTTGTTTCTTGATTTCTTATATTGTATCCAATCTTCCTCAGTTTAAGTGATCATAAACTTTTTATAGTCATTATCACGCGTCAATTTAGAGTCTAGAAATATTTGTGAAAACCAGAGTGTTGACTTTTCCCTTTGATATACCACTTTACTAATTTGTGTGTCTCTCAAGCAGTTCTCCATACAATCCATAATTTTTGAAAAATGTCAGCATCATTAAAAATTTCAATGATATTGGCTTGTAAGAGTGACTCTCGTAACGTTTCAAAGTCAATAATTGTGATTTCTCTTGATTCTCTCTCATTAAACATATTTTCCACCTCGAAACCTATCCACGAATGGTCGCTTATTTTTGGAGTATGTAAAACCTTAATACTCAAATTCTGTTCATTGGTTATCATTAAATCGATCTCAGTTCGTGAAAAGTTTGTAATCCATGTGTAGTCATTAACTTTTTGCCATAGATCATGAAAGTTCAGTACTTGTTTAAATTTTTTTACATAAAAATCTTGATTATCAAAATTTATGTTGAAGTCTCCCAAGTGCACAGTGGAGTAATTTCGATAATACTGTTTTTCACAAACTCTCAAAAAAGTCAAAAAAAATAAAGTTGATGATTGAGGACATGAGATGAAACGTCATATTAAAATTCTAATTATGCCATCTTGTTTAATTTTAAAGTCGAGTCAGTTATGAAAAAATAAAGACGATTTTGGGAATATTAGATTTTTTTCTTCGGAGATACTCGGGATTGCGAAAGCATTTTCTTAGTTACCTAAATGCGCAACTTTGACTCCAGCTAGCACACTTCGTATCTCTTACCATTTCCGAGATCCCAATGTTGAGTGACGAATCTGAAACGCCAAGCATATGGAGGTCACTCCATTGTGGGACCCTTTATATTACTATAAATCAAAATTACAGGTATAGCTTTGGAGTGGACACCAGTAACAACGTTCCATGATTGTTTGAAACTAGGCATAGAGGAATACGCCGATAATATGATTAAAATAGCAGAATCTGCTACGAAGGAATATTCTATCGAGCAGACACTGAACAAGATGATGGAAGAATGGGAAAATAATAAAATGGAGCTTACGCCTTATAAAAATACTGGCAAGTTCTACCGCTGGCCACGAACTATAATAATCCGTCTGCGTGTGGGCGGATGAAGTTTCTAACATTATATTTGAATAGGAGATATTTTGCATTTATTCAGGGTGTCCGCAATGTTGGGGTTTTCCTTTTCAGAAACAACTACCCTTGAAATAACAAAGGTAATGTGTAGTGAAACGAGGGCGACCAAGTAAAAAAAATAAAGGAAAAAGTACTCACTCTCCAGTTGACGAGAAGGGCTAAGTACGTCTCTGTCCGAAATCATACCGCTCCAACAGAAAATGAAATCAGCTGATGCGCTACCGAGCAGACGTAAACAGTCTAGGTATTGCATCCCGTCCAATCGATTTGGGAGAATAAATGGTCCAATTAGCCTACCATTCACCATGCCAGCCCAAACATTCACCGAAAATGTTTGTTGAAAATGTGCCCAACGGACAGCGTGCGGATTTTCTACTGACCAAACATGAGTGTTGTGAAAGTTATTCATCCCATTACGCGTGAACGTAGATTCGTCTGTCAGCAATATGCACTTCAAAAAGTCCGGATTATTGTCATGTTGATGCAACAACCACTCACAAAACCGCACTCTTGCTGGAAAATCGTCAGGTTGAAGGGCTTGTACACGTTGGACGTGAAACGGATACAGCCCCTCTTCACGCAGCGTTTTTGATACTTGCACTTCTCTAGCCACGTCTCTAGTGCTTGTTGAGGGATTCTCGTCTACGCGATTACCTCTACACGCGTAACCGTAACCGTCGGTTGAAGGTTGCATACTGACCTGGCACACTGACCCCGACCCCCGACCCAGTTCTGTCGTCGGGTTGAGCTAGTAGCCGGTACCAGTTGGGGATATCGCGAGTCGCGGCAACAGGACGGTATTCAGATATTTTTGATGCTGCAGAGCCCTTTATCTCGGTTCCCTTAAGACATTGGTGTATATGGTACTAAGAAAAGTTGCTTATGTTTTCAACATCTACATATACACGTCGTGTAAAGGAAAACCCCAACTTTGCGGACACCCTGTATATCTTTTATGGGGTGGCATTACCTTATCATCTAATTCTTGCTTTGCACAAGTTCAATCCTTCTTCATAAGGACCGTCGATACCTTTGAAAACATTTTGTAAGCTTTTCTTGAAACACTAGTGTCATCACGAGTAGTACAAAGTTAGGAATTTCACCTGCTCAAGGTGTGGTTAAAAACGTTCTATACTCTAGGCGCTGAAGAAAGAAACTAAACCTAAACAAATACACGCATATTGCTCGTGAGTGAGTGTTTAGGCGCAGGAGACATTACAGGACCGCATCAAGATATTATGGGTAGTCATCAAAAATTTCATACAAGATAATTATTATCTTTTACAGTAAATTTCAGTTAGAGATTCACAAATGAGTTAACTACACTTTTTAGTTATTAGTAAGTAAGCTGCGCGCACTCATTCAGAAGAGGAACTTGAATCTTCTGAATCGTTTAAATGAATTATTAGAGGTTCAATTTGGGTATCGATGACATTGTCCAAATCCCACATTTTGACCTCAACCTTCTCCCGAACGTGGCGGATACAGTTTTTCCATTCCTCTGCCGTAACTCTATTGACTGCGATGTGAAAGAGATTTTTAACATCAGAAAATTTATAAGTATTATTATTCGACGCCACGTATTGCTTTATGTTGGCCCAAATCAGCTCAATAGGGTTCAGCTCACAATGGTAGGGTGGCAGTCTCAAGACAGTTTTATTTTGTTTTTTGGCCATTTCGTCGATCATTTTAAAATCGCATTTGTATTTATGTCTATTGACTATACTTATCAATTCATCCTTGACCATTGTTTCATCAAAATCGATCTGTTTTGAGGCCAGCCATTGTTGTATGTTTGCTTTTTTGGTTGCCATTGTGGGAATTTTTTCTATTTTTCTAGAATGGTACGGGGCATTATCCAGTACAATAACAGCGTTATTCTCCAGCTTTAGTAACATTTTGGAGAACCAATTTTCAAAGGAATTGCCGTCCATCTCCTCATGATAGTCCCCTGTCTTTTTTGATTCAAAGGCCCACAGTGCTTCGGGAACAAAGCCGTCTTCACTACCTACGTGACAAATGATCAGCCGTTTGCCTTTTCCTGGAAATAAATTATTCCTTACACTATGGATTGATTAAATTTGAAGGAATGAGGCAATTGAGTTCATTTAGCTGAATTTAAGAGTCACGGAATGCTGATCAAAAACTGAAAAACGTAGAAAATTGAAGTTTGCAACTTCTCAAAACCCATTCAAAGCAAATTGACTGCACCCAAAAATGATAATAAATTTCAAAATAACGCTTAAAAGAGGGTCGAAGTTTTTTTCCTAATGACTACACTGCGAATGCACCATTTTTGGAGAATATCACACATTATCTGCTATCACAGTATATTATTTGCCCGAATTTATCAAAATTAAATTGTCGGATAGATGAAGGAGCTTACCTGCAGGATTTTTCAATCCAGCCGAAAGACCGTCTAGAAAAGCCTGCCTTGATGATGTTACTGATTTGTCGACCCAAACTTTCGCTTGAGTATGTCCAGCATTCACCCACGTTTCGTCCAAATAGTAAATTTTTCTTTTTTCATCGCGAAACTTCCGAATCTTCCTAAGGTATTCCCTTCTCCACACAACAATTTCTTCTTTCTCTATTAACATACTGTTTCTTCCCCGTTTCAAGAATCGAAAATTAAGTTCCTTCAAAAGTTTTCGGAATGTGGTTCTTTTAAATGATGGAAGATCCTCATCAGCATTAACTAATCTTAATATCTTATCTACTGTAGGTATCTCATTTCGGAAGAAAAAATTATGCACTTTCCTCCTGATGGCAGTTCTGTCAAAGTCATCTACTCCGCCCGTTATCCTTTTTCTTGCAGGATACGGTTTTGGCTCAGAAAGTGAGTGAGTGCTCCTATATTCCTTAATGATCCTATAAACACTGGACCGACATACTCCAGAAATATGTGCTACCTTACATATAACTTCGTCCACGACCAAATCGGGTTTTTCTTGAATTTGGTTTTTGTATATACATATTTAATATTATTTGTTTTTCATTTGCACTTAAATGTAGCTTCTTAGCCCTTTTTTTGGGTGGGGTTGCGCTGATGTCAACTACTTCGTCGGCTGTATCTGTGTCAGACATCGTATCTTAGGCAATATATAAACAAAACGTTCCACTCGCGAAAAACGAGTATACGCTACTGACTGCGTAATGCGTACGCAATGCAATCCTGTGCGTGAATTAACTGTTAGATGCCTGTCGTGTCATCTACAATCACGTTTACAAGTCCAAACCTGTGCAGATTCGTAGAGCGCCGACGACTGCTAGTGACCTTGAATTTGTCTGTAGATCGATGTTACTCCAGTCAATTTAGGTTCAAAGTGGATGTTTTCTAAACCAATTTGTTGTTCCTACATCAAAAATATATCGATGATGTTTTGTACTGGGAGCTCATGAAAGATCAAGGTAACTTATTTTAACAGTCATCCTTTTTCTAGTCTCAAGATGACACGAAAAAGGGTCTGTGGATTCACTAGAAATACACTGCCGAGGATGTTTCGACCTAAAGTGACTGGAGTATATCCGTGGATGCTTTCGAGGGATCTGTTCACGTGCTGATCACTGTTTACGTTTAATGTCTTTCTTCAGCGCCCAGAGTTTAATTCTTATTATACTCGTATTCACCATTATCTCTATCAATGCGGTCTGTAGGAGGAGGTTGAACTGCCTCAAGACACGTATTCTTACGAAGCAAGTACTGTCGGTAAGGAGGGTGTGGCTGTCGGAAATCTAGTGCGCGTAGAGTATGGCATAGAGCTTCTGCGCACGTCTACAGAAGCACATGAAAAATGTTAAGAATGTGCGGCGTGCTTTAATTCGTTTAAGAATATTTTGATCTATTTATGTTAATACACCTAATGGTTTTATGGTTCCTTCAATGCATGCTGAAGTTTTCAGTTTTCCCCATTCAACTAACCTCAACGCGGACAGAGACAATCAGTTTTTCCATTTTTTCTAAAACTTAATTATAGTTTGCGTTATTGCAATTCCTCAACACTTCCTTCCAAGCTCCCATCACAATCATTATGTGTATTTTGATCTTATAATTTCCAAATTACGTTAACAATTACTACAAATAAATAACGACATATTATACCATCAAGCGCCAAGGGAGCTGTTAAAAAACGATTATCACGTACATCGCAAAATCCTGATTCCAAGGTTTTCCATTTCACCGCGTTTTGTCATGCTTTGTTGATTTACGTCTGAACTGTCATCTACGCGCAGAACCTGCAATTCATTTTCTGCGCAGCGTACATACGAGAGAGCGCAGCCTTCATTGTCGAAACCTCTCTAGTCTTCATGGTCAGTGGGTTTGTCACTTCTAATTGCTCAGATAACAAAGTCAGGAAGAAGGATGGAAAGAAAAAAGAAAGGAAATGTGAGGATAAATAGGAGGAAGGTATAATTGGTCACTTATTATTTAGGAACCTATATTATGAAGGTATCAGACGAGATCCAGCAAATGTTGGATGACCACATCGTGCTTACTCAACAACTGTCTTTCAGTCCCTTCAAAGGACCATTTGAGGAAAAGATTGATGATTGGGAAGACAAGCTGAAAATAACTGCTGAGGTCATAGAAGAATGGATGGACGTACAAAAGTAAGACATCATTTCTGCCTAAATAATATGTTATTTTTGCTCTCCGTCTCTGTGTCCATAACTAACCATATTAAACGTTGTTTCATGCTTTTTAGCAATCATCAGTACGGTCAGTGGCGGCTCCTGTCAAAATAGAACAGGTGTTCTGCAAATCCGAACTTACCTATTTTTTATATGTCAGTTCGATCCTGCGCTCTGCTTGGCAGCAAATTTGTCGATCACCTTCCCGTTGAAATTTTCCATGGTCGAAATAAATTCCTTTTCAATGGACAGCATCGACAACGCTGTAAGGCGATCCTGAGTCATAGTATTTCGAAGAAAGGTCTTGATTCTTTTCAATGTTGAGAAATTTCGCTCAGCCTCTGATGTTGACATAGGAGTTGTAACAATAATTTCTAATAGCTTTTTTGTTTCTTTTAGTATTTCCTCCAAACTATTTTGTATAAAAAATTCCAAAAGAGACAGAGTTCCATGTATATCTCGGCAATCATTCCGTGCATAAATAACAGACAACTCTGTCTTTAAACGACTTTTTTCTAATTCGGGATAAGCCAAGCTGGTAGTTTCCAACTTGTCATCAGGAAACTTACCACAGTATTTCCAAAGTGTTCGGGGAAAAAAAGGATGCGGCTACCAAATGATCTTTGAATTGAAATCTGTCATTTGCGGAATTCACTATATTGTCGCATACTTCTAATGCAGCAACTCGATGACCGTGACTGCTATTATTACGTCGTCTCCTTTTGTTGCCTTGGGGTTCAGTGCAAATACTTTTGGCTTCATTTATTATGTCACCAATTTTATTTCTCACATCGACAATACATTTTTCGATGTGAGAAATTATCGATAGCTATTTTAACTTGCGCTGACTCGGTTTTTCTCTTCTGCAACTGGTTGAACAAGATGTCGACGTGAGGCATGACATGATGAAAAAATGTCAACCAAAACACGAAATTAGAATCGTTTAACATACGGCGAATACCGCAAGCTGCCTTGCAAACGGTTTCATTAGTGAAATTTTCTTCTATTTCTTCCGTGCATTCAATGAGTGATTCTCTGTTCTCAAACACTACATTTATTGTTCGAATATTAAAATTCCAACGAGTTGTTGCTCCTTGGGAAATTTTTTTCCCCACAATTCTGTTCAGTACCTCTACGCGTTGAGGAGAATTATTAAAAAATCCCGGAATATCTTTCTAATCCCCAAAGAACACCCAAACTTGACCATTTCATCAGGTTTAACTGATGCGCATAGCGATGCACATAGTGAGCAAATGGATATATTTGTTTAATTTTTGCCTGTACTCCAGCATTATGTCCGCTCATTGCCGCGGCTCCATCATAGCTTTGTGAAATCAGTCTGTTAGGGACATTTCCTATTAATGGATCTACGACGCTCAAAATCTATCTTGTGAAAGTATCAGCGTCACATTTTTCGGGATTCATATAATTCCAAAAACGTTCTACTGGTTCGCCGTATATGAAAATTGTTACCAGTTGGGTTTTCCCCGAAATGTCCGTTGTTTCATCTGCTATTATTATTTCTTCATGACAAACTTCAAGAATACAATCCAGTAGATCGTTTTGTTTTTCTTTCGGAGTTCCTTTAAATATTGAATCAATTTTTATGTGTTCGCTTAAGGTTGTATCAAGCATCAATCTACACAGCCACAGTCAGTCAGTGGTCGATTATAATGCTTTCTCAGTACAAAATAGACTCGACGTCGTGTCTTGCGGGGGCAGCGTTGCCGGTATTGTTTCTATTTGTGTGATAACATGGAAAATAAATAATGATCAGCTCTGCAGAACTTAAAGGCCAGCCGCCCCTGAGTACGGTATATGTATAGTTATTGGAAACAGACAACGGGAGGCAAACAAGCGAAGATGAGTCGAGATAAAGACGAAAAGCGATCCCTTCATCGGTAGCAGAAAACTACATACGTTTCCTGGCATCTTTGAATGACAGTTCGCTTAGATGGAAGTGGAAGTATCGTTCACTCAGGGCAGTACTAAGTGCTCACCATGCTACCAGCTGTGAAGTACTAGGCAAAAGTTGCATCTACGTCTAAGTTGGTAGCATGGTGAGCACTTGGTGCTCTCCTTAGTGACGAGACGCCTATGTAAGGGCCGACAGTCGTCCGTTTTACGGACACATACTGACAAGTAGAGATGCCGGAAAACCTAGATACGTATAAGTTTTCGCCGCCAATGTAGTACCGAGCTTGGCGAACCCTTTCGCGATCATTTCTATAATATAACCGATCTTTATCCTGAAAACAATGCATTTTTTTAAAATTTCAAATAGGCAATGGATGTACTTGGAGCCAATTTTCACGAGTGCTGACATAACAAGACAGCTTCCTGCAGAGAGTAAAAAGTACAATTCGATGGAAAGGACGTGGAAGAGAATCATGAGAAACGCACACGAGTGTCCCAATGTGAGTGTTACCTTTAGAAATTTTCTTATGTTTATTAAAAGTTCATACATTTAAAAAGAGAAGTTTACTGACGTTTCAGTTGCTTCTTCAGTTGATGTTAAAGAACAGTCAATTGCTTTTTCTCTAAACTACCAATACCTTGGTTACAACAGAATGGAATAAAATGGAATAGAATGGAATATAATGCAATATAATGGAATATAATAGAATATAATGGAATATAATGGAATATAATGGAATATAATGGAATATAATGGAGTATAATGGAATATAATGGAATATAATGGAATATAATGGACTATAATGAAATATAATAGAATATAATGGAATATAATGGAATATAATGGAATATAATGGAATATAATGGAATATAATGGAATATAATGGAATATAATGGAATATAATGGAATATAATGGAATATAATGTAATATAATGGAATATAATGGAATGTAATGGAATAGAATGGAACAGATTGGAGTAGAATGGGATAGAATGAAATAGAATGGATTAGAATGGATTAGAAAAGCATAGAATGGAACAGAATGGAATAGAATGGAATTGAATAGAACAGAATGGAATAGAATGGAGTAGAATGGAATAGAATGGAATAGAATGGAATAGAATGAAATATAATGGAATATAATGGAATATAATGGAATATAATGGAATACAATGGAGTTTAATGGAATATAATGGAATATAATGGAATATAATGGAATATAATGGAATATAATGGAATATAATGGACTATAATGGAATATAATGGAATATAATGGAATATAATGTAATATAATGGAATATAATGCAATATAATGGAATAGAATGGAACAGATTCGAGTAGAATGGAATAGAATGGTATAGAATGGAATAGAATGGATTAGAATGGATTAGAAAAGCATAGAATGGAACAGAGTGGAATAGAATGGAATAGAATGGAATTGAATAGAACAGAATGGAATAGAATGGAATAGAATGGAATAGAATGGAATAGAATGGAATAGAATGGAATAGAATGGAATAGAATGGAATAGAATGGAATAGAATGGAATAGAATGGAATAGAATGGAATAGAATGGAATAGAATGGAACAGAATAGAACGGAGTGGAATAGAATGGAACAAAATGGAATATAACGAAGTATCACGAAATATAATGGTATATAATTGAATATAATGGAATATAACGGAATATATTGGAATATAATGGAATATAATAGAATATAGTGGAATATAATGGAATATAATGGAATATAATGGAATATAATGTAATATAATGTAATATAATTTAATATAATGAAATAGAATGGAGTAGAATGGAATAGTATGGAATAAAATAAAATAAAATGGAATAGAATTAAATATAATGAAACTGAATCGAATGGAACAGAATGGATGTTTATTCAGCTATTAACTACAACATTAAATTAACATAAACATAACAAAAACGACAAAAATATCTGGCCGTCTAAAGCTGAATAAACTTCTGGTTGATTTAGGATTAGAGGAACTTTTTTACTGCCTTTACAAATATGATATATAAATGCTAATATAAAAAAGATGTCAAAAAAGGGAGAGCTCACGACATGATATGATATGAATATGAATAATAGGTTACATATTTTCATTTTCCGCTTCCTCTTCTTCTTTACTTCCTGTTATATTTTTCGATGTTTCAGATAATCGAATATTGTGGAGATCGCAAACTTCTAGAGAGCCTGAAGGATGCTAACCACATCCTTGAGGTAGTACAGAAGGGTCTGTCTGAATACTTGGAGATGAAAAGAACTGTATTTCCAAGACTGTACTTCCTTAGTGACGATGAACTGCTTGAGATCCTGTCTCAGGCTAGAAATCCGCTTGCTGTACAGCCTCATTTGAAAAAGTGTTTCGAGAATATTGCTATGGTATGGAGTCCCGATCATCCTTCTTCAAGGTTTACTAATTGTAGGTTTCTTCTTTTTTAGCTAACTTTCGAGAAAGATCTCCGCATCACTCAAATGTTCTCGGCGGAAGAAGAATGTGTGGACCTAGATCCACCCCTGTATCCAGAGGGTAACGTGGAAAATTGGCTTGTGGTGGTGGAAAAATCCATGAGAAACACCCTCCGTGTCACCCTGGGCAGATCATTGACAGATTTGTATGCTAAGGATAGGAAAGAGTGGGTATTATGTTGGCCTGGGCAGGTTGTTATAGCCTGTAGCCAGACATTTTGGACAGCAGGTATATACGAGAGTCGTTTACTTATCCATAAAGAATACAAAGAAAAATAACTAATGCGTCAATCTTCCTACATACTATAGTCACTGATCAGCTATAGTTTAATTTAAACATTGATATGAATGGTTACATTAATCGATCGACAGTCGGTAATGATGACAATAGGGGCAATGATTTTACAGGTGTGGAAAAAGGAATTATGGGCAATTGCTTAGGAGACTTCTTGGAAGGAACAGTTCTCGTCAACCTGGATGCGTTACGAACCCTTGTAAAAGGGTCTTTGTCCTTCCTGAATAGAGAAATCCTTTCTGCCTTGATTGTTATCGAAGTGCATTCTAGAGACGTTACCCAGACATTAGTTGACTTGAATATCATGAATGTTAATGATTTCGATTGGATAAGCCAATTACGGTAAGCTTGCAATTATGATAAAAAAAATAATTACATCCAGAAAGAAATTGAATGATGGTCGTCCTTGTATGTGCTTTAAACATTTTTAGCAAAAAGCTATCGAGTTGCAAGGTTGGTCTTTCAAATGTGCTATGTCATGTCGAAGACCAAATAAGTTCCTGGGTGCAAGTTCTTAGCATGCACAGCTTGAGATGTGCAGTATATTATAGAGAATCTGGTGCTTATACATTGACTAACGTATTCCGTCATATGATTTCCAAATGAGCATACTCACCTTGGCATCGCCAACCACTTATGCTTACAACTACACTGCCACGAAAAATTAACCAGACAAAATTTTGTTCAAATTAAATTTTGAATAACTCTTTAACCTTTGCATCAATTTCGTTAATTTTTTCGTCAGGTTGTAGGTAATTTCAAAAAAATTGGAGATGTTTTTTGTTATACAGGGTGTAACTAAAAGGTGCATTTTGCCGTAAATTTCTGAACACCCTGTGGAAACATTAGATTACTGGATGAGAATGTACGAGAATTTCAAGCCTCAACTTTTCTCAACAGTTCTTTTTTAAATTCATGTCAATATCTCAATTATTGAAGAATATATGCTGTTTTGAAGAAAATCGTGCGAATCATAGCCATAAACAAGAAATTGTTTCAAGCAAGCTTTGCCGGGTAAGAGATTGTTTCAAGTAGGTTGTGTCTGTTAGAATTTTTATGGTATGTTAAACAGATTCTTGTCAAGCAATACTCGACAAAAATGACACCGGAACAAGTAGCACAAGCTGTAGCTTTACAAGATGATGGCCGTACTATTCGGTATATCGCAGAAAAGCTTGATGTTCCACTCAGTGCGGTATGCAATGCGATACAAAGATTTAGAGAAACTGGTTCTTACTCAAGGACACTTGGGAAGACGGAAAGCAGCAAACGCAGTTGAAGATTGGTTTCTGAGACTTCAGCTCTTCGAGAAAGGACAGTTCCTGCTACAGCTTTGACTCGAAGATTGGATGAGGCTCATGGTACCATAATTTCTCCTGATACCGTAGGCCTAAGGTTGAGAGAAGGGAACCTATCATCTTGTGTACCTGCTACAGGTCTTCTATTGGATTTAGGTCATCGACGGCAGTGCTACTTTCTCGAACTCATGCAGATTGGAATATTGACGACTGGAAAAACGTTCTTTTTACCGACGAGTCTCGTTTTACGAGGTATTCACCTGACGGTCGCAAATACCCCAACAAGCAATAGCTGGTTTAATTGAGTCTGTGCCAGAGAGGATGAGAGCTGTTATTCAAGCCCGGGGAGGAAATACTCGTTTTTGATAATTTCTAATTATTAATGTTATCACAGTTATTTATTAAGTTAAATTGTTTATGGTCATGATTCACATAGTTTTCTTACCAATGTTGTCACTCATGTTTTTACTTAAATTGTTTATGGCTATGATTCGCATGATTTTCTTCAAAACAGCATATATTTTTCTACTTTACTGTATTATGTTTCTACATCTAATGTTTCAGATGTGCCTTTTGGTATTTTATTTTAACGTACGCGGCGTTAAATCGCAGATTATCAACAAACAAATCCATGAGAGTGTATCAGTTGTATAATCACGATGATATGTTGGTACACAAGCTGTGTCAACATTTTATCAAAACCACTAACAGAATGTTCTCTTTTCTTAATCTATTTTACGTGATCCATCATAGTATGACGCTTTCTTATTGGAACACCTTACGATATGTGACTTGAGTGGTATTGCAAATTAAATACTCTTTCTACGTTGTATTTTACATAGCCTTCTTTAATGGTCACATGGAATATTTAAGGGCGGTTTCCAGCTTTTGTTGGTAGTATTTGTAGTAGGTTTATTAATCCAATCCACATCTCGTAAAACTAAAAACGAAACGCTCTAATTATAAGTTACCTATAGTGCGCAAACAAATTTCATATGCAAGAATCAATGACTATTTGAAAAAGTTTTTCTCAATCATTCAAACATTTTAACAATGCCTTACGAAAACTATGTATAGTAGTATGAAAATTGTTCCTTAGTCTGGCATCGTGATAATTTATTTCATTATCGAAGACCATTATCTTTTCAAAATATTTTGGTTGAAGCCCCTTAAAGGTAAAAACCATTGTCAAATATAGATGTCTTTAAGATATTGATAGCCACCCCAATGAATTAAACACCAATAGTAGTTCTAATAATTTTCTAGTCTTTGTAACTCTGATATCTAGTTTTGGTTAAATAAAAGAAGTAGTGAAGCGCATTTGTCAAAATGAGGCAGAATGATGCAATTATATTTAGCGAAAATTTTTGATATTCTAATGACAAAAATATTTTTTTAATCTGTTGATAATATCCCTCTGCATATTTTTTCGATGTCAAACAATTGCCGACTATAAATCCAAGATACATAAATTCCGAAACAAATAAACAAAACTGAAATTACCAAGAGTTATTTGTATTTACTTTTTCCTGACTTTATTTGAGATGAGAGTTTAAGATAAACTGCACTTCAGTGTTATCACTTTTTTGCTAAACGGTGGCATAATTAGTAACACTATCCGACGTTTGGTCACTATACATATATGCGAGTGG